TAAAGCAATTTAGCATAGTAGCCCCGTCCGATATAGAGCCAGATGCTGTGGTAATGCACGGAGGTAGCTCATTACGGATATCGCCGGTGGATAACGATTTAATGGCTTTCCAAAATGTTCCAGGATTATTCAGATTCTTTGTGGTTACTGACAGATAGTACTTTGATTTAGCACTTTTGACATGTGAAGTGAAGCTATTTCTTAGCTGCCTAAAATGCAGCCATTCTACCTCTGAGCCTGATTTCCTAGCCTTTGCCCAGGCCTTGTTTCTCTCATGAAGGAGACTGGACAGATTAGCAGAAAACCAAGGATTGTCTTGTCCCTTTACTCTAAATTTACGCAGGGGTGCATGTCTATCAATGATCTCCATAAAACCAAGATAAAAATAAGACCATGCGGTTTCTACATCAGCACACAGATCGATTTTACCCCAATCAAAATCAAACAGATCATGCACAAAACCCTGCTCCACAAAATGGTTTTTGTCTCTCTTAATGATAATGCGAGGTTTAACCTTTTGGACCTTAGAGTCCCTAATTGTGGCTACAACACAGTGATCACTCAGATCATTTGCAAATACTCCCACAGATGAATATTTATAGATTTATGGGGAACATTAGTTAAAATGAGATCAATTAGGGAGGATTTATTAGGGGACTTAATGTTAGGGTGAGTAGGACTGTCAACAATCTGAGTAACATTTAAAGAGATACAAAGGTTTTTTAAATCCTCTGACACTGCAGTTAACCAGTCCCAGTTAAAATCTCCAAGTAGCACTATTTCCTTGTAGTCTAGTTGTGATAAAAGATTTGCTAGTGAAGACAAGGAGTCTTTGACAGCTGAGGGGGGTCTGTAACAACTCAATACCATGACCTGTTGCCCCTTTGCCACTTCTATATTTATGGCTAAAAATTCAAATTGCTTACTGATCGATTTGGAAACTAATGTGGTTACACTGAACTTATTCTTAACATAAATGGCAACGCCACCACCTTTATTAGGCCGGTCGGTACGATACACATTAAAACCATTTAAGGCAATGTCAGAGGCCAAAATAGATTTGTTTAGCCATGTTTCTGATAAAACAATGACGTCAGCGTCAGTCGAGCTCGCCCAGATACGGACAAAATCTAGTTTACCTAACAGACTGCGCACATTCAAGTGGATGAAACCCAACCCAGAAATAGCTTTAAAATCAGCAGGAGTAGCGATCTGACTACTACTACTGGGCGAACCAGGGTTAGGTTGTACATTTCCTGACAGTAATAACAACAACAAAACCAGGCATCTTTTCCTCTTAAACGACACGCATACATTGTCATCTAATTTAGAAACACCGGAAAAGTCTGCGAGAGTGTGATTAGAGCTTAAGAAGCAGTCCTGAAGAACCATCATCGCAGGAAAACAAAAAAGACAAACATATTTTGTCGAGCAGATTGTCTGTGACAAGGCAACCGGTAATTGTTTGAGCAACACATCCGAACCTTTGCAGGGGATGCCCACTGCGGGTGGCAGAACAGACCTGAATCCAGTAGAGTTCTCAGAATGACTAGAGATCTTCTCATAGTCCAAAACAGTTAACAGGCACAGCAGAATCCCGATATGGGCCATTTTCCCAGACCAGCACACAGTATCCGCGATGTTCCTGGAGCAAAATCAGCACAGCAGCAAAGGACAGGCGAAAACAGCAGCGTGGAAGCGCTCCGGTCCCTCCGTGGTATCCCCGGGGTGAAAGCAGGCCTCTGCAACAGCAGAACCAGGACAGGTGGAAAGCAGGCCCCAGCGGTGGTCAAATCCTCCTCCGCACAGCAGCACACGCCCGGTGGAAGCAGGCCAAGCCCGAAGCGTGGATCCACTCCGTCTCTCCGCGACGACTCCGGGGTAAAAACCTCTCCAGTACAGCCGTATTCTACAGGTTGGAGCAAGCCTCCGTAGATCGCAGATCGCAGGCAGCAACAGGTGGAGCCGCTCCGTCTCTTCGCGACAAGCAGGCCTCCGTATATTGCAGATCGCATGCAGCAACAGGTGGAGCCGCTCCGTCTCTTCGCGAGGTCTCTGGAGGAAAAACACCTCAGTACAGCCGTACTCGACAGGTGGGAGTAGGCCTCCGCAGATGTATCTGTGTATACTGGTGCAGTCTGATGGTGATGCAACATCTAAATCATTCAATAATATTTATTCAATCCAATGACAACAAAAGGTAAATATTTATCCAATCTGTTTCGGGTTGGCAGCACGGTCCCTCCAAGTGGGATAGATCAGAAACTGGGGACTAATTCATCACAAAGACATGTATGCACAAAAACTGTACTGACTTTCTCTGTCTGTCACAAGCAGATGCTTAACTTTCGAACCGTTCTCCTTTTCCACATGAAGGCTCAAAACACATTTTGAATTATAGGTGTTCTATTTTTTGGACCCCAGTTATAGAAACATCACAAGACTCTGTCATCTTGAATTCATGACAACACATTGTTTGCATCTTCCTATGGTTAACAAGAAAAGCCAAAAAAGTCTTGATGAATTGAAGATAACGGCGGCCATTTTTAACAAGCGCAAAGCTTCATCAAAACATCAGTTTTTCAAACTCTCACAAAACTTGTGCAGTCTATAAAAATCGTAGTCAATTAATCAATCTCATTAAGTTGATCGTTGCTGCTTCCAAAAAACATGCATTTTGTTACAACCTCGCTATTTAAATCGCTGCTTTTCTGTAAATGGTCATTCAATCCACTTTGTTTTATCGAGTTTGCTGTGGTTAAACCCTGACCCCTTTATTTTTATTTTATTAAGACTTTCCTTCGTTTTTTGGATTCTTTGTCCGCTGTGGAGGCATGTCGTTTTTCTTCAAGAATTCAATGTTACACGGAGTGAGTTATTGATATACAAACGATTATTGAAGATCATCGAGTATCTCTTTAAAGTATCTCACGTGACCTTTCACCCACTTTGAGTTGTTGTTTTCTATTTTGTGACTCACTCAACCAAACCAATGGAAGTTACCTAAGCAGGAGGACCCATTTTACTGATGTCACTGACCCTAACAGCAGCACAGGAACCAGTGCTCCAATTAAACTGACCTAAAGGCATCTGTGAGGCTTCCATGCCCCCCCCCTCCTCCTCCTCTTCTTGGGATAAACAAGCAAATAAAAATGGAGCTGACAGGGTCAATGTATGGCGCTGGGAGAGGTGGATGATTCTCCGCTGCACTTTGTTGCACAACCTGGAGTGGGACTTGGAAAGCAATGAGTGTGTTTGAAGTGTGTGTGAATCAGGTCTTGTAAAATACTGCTTGCATCCTGGGCCTCCTTTTTTTCCCTTTTACACATGCTGTTATGTAATATGTTTGTCCCTCACCATGAAGAGTGTTAATGTATATTGACTGATGGTTCAGGATCCATAATGACAACAATTTAAAGAATTATTTATATTGGTAAGATCAATAAGTCAGCTCAGCTTTGACTTATCTGTTTCTGGATCTAAGGAAATACTGCAAATGGGAAAAAGGTTGTCTCACAGAGGGAGTCTGAAAAAATTGTCCCCAATGTCGCTGGGTCTTTATTCCTGCACTGTTTTACATTTGGTATTTAGAGTTCATTTCACTCTGGGAAGTATGGCAAAAATGCCCACAATGAGAACCTATAAGGCGAATTCATAAAGGTCAAAAGGCCTGAAGACTTCTCACCCTCTTTGGTCTCCATGTGTGAAACGTAATGGGAGAGGAGGGAATAGCAACAGTTGTGGTTGCTCTCGGGAAAACCATTCTATACGAGTATATTACATGATTAAATGTACCCTACACACTTTAAACCACTATAGGCCTACTGTTGTTTGATAAAAGCCAGTATGTTTTTTGGTTGATTTAGAAGTCTATCATGGCTTGGTACCGTGTACAATAACTCAGCTAGCTAGCTAAAAGCGACAACTGTCATTTTCCTTGAGTGCACAAAAGTCATTTGTGGTTTGAGACAACTTTACCCTGTCGAAATGTTTTAACTATGCAAGTATAGTGTTTACATTGGAGGCTACTACATGGATGTGTACAAACTGAAGTATCCAAACCTTATACAGTCTATGATCCAAACACAGCACCATAGTGGATTTGGGATGAAGACAAGTACGAATTTAGAAAGAGACTAGTGTGGAGAAAGAGGTGAGTTTACCAGATCTCTGCACACCGCCCCTCAAACTGGCAGCTCAACGCTTCATTAGCAGCTGACAGCAAGACACACCTGAATCTGACCGGACGTGGTCAAGTTGCATTGTGGGTAATGTGGGTACCAGGTCTCGATAAGAAAAAGAAATGAATGGATTATAAAAAGTAAAACTCTGGTTCTGCTGCATCAATTTAGACTGAGTCTGAAAATGTTGCAGGACTGCAGTGTTGTTATTTTTTACATTTGTGGCTAATAGCAAAAAGCACTCGTGCCAGATAAAGGGCTGAAAATAGAAATAGGATGAAAATGAAAACATCACCAAGTCAATAAACACAAACTCCATTGCTAACCTTCCGTGAAGGACTCCATGGCGCCCGAGGGTGCCAGCCTTTAACCAGTGGGCTCAGGTGGGTGGAGTTCCTTCGCTCCATTTTAAGAGTCGGCTCGTGGTCATGCACATGTGGTAGCAATTTTGGGGCTGATAATCCCACGCCCTCCCCTGCGGGTCTACGTAGAAGCCCCCTTTCCCGCTCACCCCACCTAGTCTGCCCCCTCGTAAACCTGTGCCCGTTCAGGCACTGCATAATCCTTTGTTGCCATATTAAAAGTGGCAGTAAATTATGTTGTTTATGGAAAATTTCTGTAAACTCTTTGTCATGAAACTGCCGAGTGTAATCAGTGGGATGACACACTGCCAGAGGACAGGGATTGTCACCATTGGAATCAAGCATGGAACCTTTTCAAGTCAACAAAAGGCAGAGTTACAGGTCCAATACACAACATGATTGCAGACCAGCAGAGCATAACTGTTACCAACGATGTAAAAAAAAACAGGAACAAATGTTTAATTCTTAAGATTTTATTAAAATACGGTGTGGAGTTTACCATCGGAAGTTACCATCACAAACATGATTGTTTCTAATAAAAAAGTAAACAAAACAAAAATAAAGCTTAAGAGCCTAGTTACAGGAGATTTTTTTTTTGTTTTAGTTTTTTTGTTGTTTTTGCAGTCTGGTGAAAGAAAAACAAATCAATTCACAATGAGAGTGAGTGGAAAAAATGTTCACATGTTGTAAAAATACATTTCCCAATTTTAACATTACACACAGTCACTTTCAAACATTCATTCATTCATTCCTTGTTAGATGGTTAGATGTCAGTGCCAAAAGAAAGCAAAACAGAAACAAAGTTCAGACCTGTGCACAAAGGGGAACGATTGGGGGGGGGCGGTTTTCTAAAAACGCAGGAGGCTGTTCTACATTCCGAGAGGAAAAACTTGGGACAAGGGACAGGAGACGGAGAGCGACTGCTGGAGGATATGTGTGCATTTGAACCCTGAGAGAGAAAAAGTGACCGATTCTCATTGTAATTTTCTGCTTTTTTTTTTATTTTTATTGACAGACCACCCCAGTGTCCGCGTTGCCCTCCCCCTCCCAGCCGCACTGGGGCTCTGGCAGCACTGTGAAAGATGCTTTAAGAGCCCCAGGGTGGTGGTCGGGGGAATTCTCACACCCAAGAGTGAAATATCAGCTGTGGCTTTGTGAGCATACACACTGTGCTTATCTGTTAGCCAACGCACATACACACTGCCAGGCTGACTATTCAGACAGCAAAAAATATATAACATCTTAATAATGCAAAGTACGAATTCACACTAAATATATGTTTTTGAGCCCCAAAACGAGGCTAAATGTGGTTCATCAGTGGAAAAAGAGATGCTGCAGATTGAGGCCTGCCTGGGTGTGAGGAGCTTTTAGCGGAGCGGCCTCGATAGCGGCCCGTTCTTTGCTGCTGGATGCGTCTCCTGACTTCACCTGCTGTGGTCAACTGTATTAAGGCAGTGAGTGGTTCCATGGCGTCTTTCTATAACAGCTATTTTTACAGGGAGAGAAAAAGTAAGGCCCAGAGGATATCAGCTGGAAAGGACAGTTGGGGTAAGAAGGAAACAACATTTGACCAGGAAAGGGATATCATGTTTCTTCTCCAAATGTTTCAGTACAACATGTAGAACACAGACAGTATATCCATAAAAATGAAATCCTACAATAACACAGAATGGTTTTCATAACAGTGCACTGCTGAACTGAAAAATATATATATAATCATCAACAGCAAAAGTTTAAGATTACTATTATGCTCATAATCCGAACTATGGGGGTTATTTTTAAAAATATATACTCATGACATGACAGAGGAGCCTAGCATCTCAGGACACAGACATGCTCCATGTCTCTCATAGACTCTGAGGGGAAACTGTACATCACTGGAAACTGACCACGACAAAAATGGCAACTCGGGTTGAAAACACTCTGAGGGGGAAAGGCCGGGGAGCAGAGGGAAACAGCAAGATGACACAAATTCTTTAAGCCAATATTAATTCCCCTAAAAATGACCTCACATGCACTATAGATAGAGCAGCCTGACAATGAAGGGGGGGTCAAACAAAACGGCATCTATTACTACTGTTCTAGTTTTAAAAAACTAGCAGACCACGGCGACCGCCTTTTGTTTTTTCCTTCTTTTTCCATAGCCAGAAAGATGGAGGTCGAAACACCCAACTACAGTCTGAAGCTTAATGATGGGAAAGCGTTGTGCTGAATTTTCCACGATGAGAAAAAGGTAAAGGCAAAGAGATACGCATTGGTTTTGAAGCCTGAGTATTCAGTGACCTAGAGCTAACCTAAAAAGGACTTTGTCAATTTGTTTCATGGGGCATTTTTTTTTTTTGTATCATTACTGCTACAATTTCACAACCCTTCTGGTAAAGAATAGTAAATAAGTATCTAGAAAATCTGTACAAAAAATAAAAGGGTATGCACGGTACATTCAATATCTGTTACTGAGGTACTAGAAAGGTGTTCCCTTGACAGCAGGGCAACAGCGTTAAAGAGTTACTCCTAGGGACTATTCCTTTGGAAAGACAATAGCTTGTTATCATAACAGGGTGAGGGAACATACATCACACATACAAGCCCACACGCATGTCCAAACACACACACACACACACCACTGTCATTAACAAAGCCAGCATGCAAGAACACTGGCCCGTTGCTCCTACAGGAAACTAAACTCTACTGTCCCCTCACGCTTACTGGGTGATGAGCAGATGTGTGGGTATGTCATGATGGGGGGGGGGGGGGGGGCGAGTGGAGGGTAGGTGGGTGCAGGGCGGTGATGGTACGTTGCAGTGAGATCTTATTAAAACAATAAGGCGGTGGAGGATCCCTGGTCACCCGTTCTGTGTTCTGCACGTTGGCAGTGTGTGTGATCATGTTGCTCCTCACTGCAGCCAGCCTGTGACTGACTGAAGTTAGCAGTGTGCAACTCTTCTAGCTGAGCGCTCAGACAGCGCCCCCTGCTGGAGAGGCCTCTGTCATGCTGTTGCTATTCAGGCCAGAAAAAGGCTGCTGCGTTTCATTCTGTGTGGGCACTGAACTCACACTAAAGCTGCTGGCATGACATTTAAATTCATGCATCATGCTAGCCGATGTGACGCTATCATCTCATGACAAAACAATCCATTAGGGGCGAAGAATGTGTAAATTCACGGTTGCTAAAAAAAGGAGAGGGTCTCCGAAGTAAAGGGTGACAAAGGATGCTGGGTGTCACCATCTGAAGTTTGAGCCGAGCAGATGAACTGACGCTCAGAGAGCTACACTGACAACAATGTGGATCTTTCTGCCGAGCGAGCGCATGGCGGTGCCAGGGAGAGCTAAGGGCCAAACTGGGCTGAGGGGCAGCTGAACGTCTAGAAGGGAGGACAGGATGTACGGTTTGTGATTCTGTCTGGTTTACTTAAGTACACATTTTCCCCGTCACAAGAAAGATGTAGGGGGAGAAGGGAAAAAAGAAGATAGGAAGGAGAGAGCAGTAACATGAGCCATTAATGTACAAAAGGGGGCTTCCACCTCTCTGCCTCTGAACCTCTACTGGTTGGAGGACAGACAGACTGTAAAGCCTCATGTCAGAAATGCTTCTTTTTTTTAACAAACAAACAAACATTAACACCTAGAACCACAACAGGTCAACTTTCCATTAAAACAACAGCCAACTAAGGATATAAACCAATCCAATCATTGAATCCTTGAGAATACAGTTATTGCTGACGTTGTGGGGGAGTGAAGGGGAGGGACGGGGGGGTTGGTGGCAGGTGAGTGGGTGAGATGAGGATGGAGGGAAGTGTGTGTTCTTCTGGATGGGTAAGGGGCTAGCTGTGGCTGGTCACTCCAGGGGCTGGTTTAGTGATCTGAAGAAAAAGACTGTAGATCTACATCAGGTCAAACTGGCGCTGCCGATGTTCTGCAGGGTGGGGCTGTGTCTGATGCTGCGGGGCGGTGGTGGAGGTTGGGAGGGGGGAGGGGGGTTGGTTTCCAGAGGTGACGGAATGTGCTGGCGACGGCAGGGGGGGCTATTGGTCGGACGGGATGTCTCTGTCTGCTTCGGCCTTATTGGGGGAGGGGGCGTGGGGGGGGTGGGAGACAGGGGTGAGGCCGTGCGCCAGGGTTCCTGTAACAAGGCTTTCGACCACTGCTCCCGCTCCTGCGAGACCCCCTGCTGCTGCAACATTGATCAGACCTGGAGGAAATCTGAAACACACATTTCAAAAATAAAATCATCTAAAAGTTGCTGTTGTAATTTTGAAAAATAAAACTACTGTTCAAGCGCTGTCCCGTTCTCATGTTCCACATCCAGCCCTCTCACCTGTAAGTGGCTCCGTTGAGTTCTGGGTGAACAGTGGCGGCCTCCATGCTGGGCCACTGAGAGGCGGCCATCAGGTACTCCTTATTCACGCAGTTCTTCAGACTGTCAGGGATTCGTCCTGGTGCGAGGAAAAGAGGTCGTCAATCATAGCAACGTTTTATCAAGCTGTTTAGTTTCATAGCTCTAAACAGGGGTTGCAGATAAAGATGGCCGACGCGTTCGCTCTCCCAAAGTGAAGCCAAAGTATCTCGATCACCCTCTAGCGGCATTATAGGTCATGGTTGTGTATGGGACATGGGCTAATATTAAAGCGTGTTTAACTTGTCTTACATTTTACAGTAAGAAGTGTTTGTGTCTTTGATCACCATATGCCATATGAAAATATTAGATTTCCATACAGAGAAATAAAAAGTGTGCGTCTTGGCCACAGCTCACTAATTAAATCCTAATGCATTCATCATTTTCTTCTTTCTGTAATATACAGTGAAGTAAACTACATACTAATGTTGGCATTAAAACAACTCATTTGAATATGTTATGTTGGGCTCGATCAACTGGTCTGTACAATAACCTGGATTGTTATGAAGTACCTCGTAATGTAAAAAAGTGAGGTATGGGATGATCCACCATTTATTTAAAACCCGTTTTATACATGCTTTCTAATCTGTAAATGCTCAGGCACGCCCTGACCATCAGTCACATCACCATACATTTAGCAAAACCATTAGCAAATAAATACAACAATACAAAGTAGGGCTGCTCGATTATGGCAAAAATCATAATCTCGATTATTTGGGTCAATAATTGATCACGATTTTTCAAAACAATTATCCATTTACTTTGAAAACATACATTTCTTGGAGAATTTTTTTTTTAACAGTATGTTTTTAACAGTTGATTACCCTGAACTTTAAGTTTAATTCAACTGAAAAACCAATAAAAAAAAATGTAATTTGAAATAAATAAATAAAAGTAATAATAAAAAAAACATTTTATTTCGATTACGTTGTTTTCGTAATCGTTGCAAACCATAATCGTAATTGCGATTAAAATACGATGAATTGAGCAGCCCTAATACAAAGAGCAAATAATAATAATAATAATAAATGTTATTTATATAGCGCTTTTCCTGGTGCTCAAAGCAAATACATTGCAACTCGAAGTGGGAATGTGTAGATCGTGTCTTCACTGCATCTTAATATTTCATTTACATTCTCTTAATCCACCGGCTTGTTTAGTGAACAGCGTCTTACCGGTGATGGCGCGGCGGACCTCCCTGGCGGCCTCCTCCCGAGCCTCCACAGAGGCCTGCTCGCTGTACCAGGATGTGTGCGGGGTACAGATCAGGTTTGGGGCATCCTTCAAAGGGCCCGTTGAAAAACTGTAAAGAAGGGCAAAGGTTGTTACGGAGAAGAGAAGTTAGATTGTGTATCGCGCACAGCTATCGGGAGTTACTTGTGTATCATGGTTACCTGAAAGGTTCCGTCTCATGCACGTCCAGGGCAGCCCCTCGTATCCGACCCTCTTTCAGAGCCTGAGCCAGTGCTTTCTCGTCAACCAGACCGCCTCTTGATGTGTTCACCAGGAAGGCTCCCTGACGCATCTGTATCACAGAGTAAGCGATAATATGATTAAACTAAGGGCAAAACAATCCAAGAGAAGGCTGAAACCTGAAATCTGCGGCACAAATATATTCTGTTATTACTCTTCTAATCTATAACACAGACCACAACATGAAAGCAACGTTTGGTTCTGGCCAAAAATCATTTGTCATCATTTAGATTGTCTAGACTATTGGGCTCCAACAATGCCCGCCAAGTGTTTGAGTCAGGATATCAAGCTGCATATAAAAACTAAATGCCGATTCTTGCAGGTAATGTCTGAACTCCCTCCCTTTATTGCCAGGATGTCAACCAAGTGGTTACCTGAACAAAACTAAATGTCAGACTACAATTAGGGCACAGCCATTGTGCTAAAGCAGCAACTTACTGTGCTGATGGAGGCTAAATTAACGCAGAGTTGAAATGATTTTCTACAGTTAATCTTCTCACTATCCTCACAAATAACAAACGAAGAAAATGAGACAGGAGTGCATAAGTGTAAAAAAGACAACACAAATGTAGAAGAAGAAAATGTGCGTATAAAGAGGCAGATATGAGACGTGTTCAAAGTGCATCCCCACACCTGTTTGATGGTGAAGTCATTAATGAGGTGGTGGTTGTGCTCGTTGAGGCTGCAGTGCAGGGACACGCAGTCCGAGTGGATCAGCAGGTCCTGCAGGGTGGCCATGCGCTGCAGGCCCAGTGAACGCTCCACACCGTCAGGCAGGTAGGGGTCATAAAAGATCACGCCAAAACCAAAGGCCTTAGCCCGCAGAGCCACGGCTTGGCCAACACGCCCTGGAAGACAGAGAGAAATGTTATAGATATAGTCTGTTGTGACCTTGCTGGACAGAAAATAGGAATCGGCCTTTAAATTAAGGATAAATACAAAACTGTTTTCCCTGGATCATTTACTGTTGCTTGAATTAAACTCCTAAAGCACTTCCGCAAAACATCATCGCGGTTCAGGTAAAAGCCAATAGTACAGTTTCCCTTCTCATATAAGCTTTTATATGGAGGTTTTTTTCATTTCAGGAAAACCCGCTTAAAGTATGCCAATAATCCCTTTCCCATTACTGGTGTGTCCAAGAAAGCAGGTTTAGTAAACACTGACGGTGGTTACACATTTTTGGTTCAGGGAATGAATGCAGAGTGTAACCTTTCCCATTGATTACCAACAAAGGTTGGTTGTCCAGTGAGGAAGAGACTTTAGACATATTCTTTCAAATACTGTAATACCTAGTAATGGTGGCCACTAACTACTCTAAACACGTCCACACTCTTAACTTACCTAGACCGATAATGCCCAGCGTCTCTCCGCGGATACGAGCAGCGCCGCCAGCTACCTCCCTGATCTGCTCCACACTCGAGGCGCGGGTTCCCTCCCGGAGGGCCTGGTGCATCCAGGTGACTCGCCTGTACAGGTTCAGGATCAGACATAGCGAAGTGTCGGCTGTCTCCTCCACAGATGTAGCTGGCACATTACAGACTGCAATGCCTGGGTGATCAGTTTAAAGTAGGAAAGAAATATTAATCCCTCCGTTTCAGCTCATGGTTGACCGTGACAATATATTTAAAGTTCCACCCACTCACCGAGCTCAGCAGCCGCTTTGATGTCAACGTTGTCGAAGCCGGAGCCAATCCTGACAATTATGCGTAGGCCTTTAAACTTTTCCAAGTCATCTCTGGACAGAGTAATGGTGTGGTAGAGCAGAGCAGCCACTGCCTCGTTTAGCACCTAGCAAACACAAACGCAGCATGAATACTTTGAATCACATCAACCTGCACTTGACACATAAATATCTAAGCAAATAAAGGGACATGAGAGTCACAGATTATCAAAAGGATAGTCCTAATCTTCCAAACTGCTTAAAGGTCCCATGACATGGCCATTTCTACTGATCATGATTCCATTGTTGAGGTCTACTAGAATAGATTTACATTGTTCAATTTTCCAAACTCACATTGGTTTCTCATACAGCATCTCTGTATAGTATGCAGAGATGCATACTATACAGAGCACACTGGGCCCTGTGAGCCCAGTGTGCTCTGATTGGTCAGCTCGGCCACTCTGTTCTGATGAGTCCACCACCGTTACATCAGTGTTTATGTGTTACAATGGCGTTAGCAATCAGAAAATGACACCAGTAATGACAAAGCTGCGTGGGGTCTGGGTGCCGTGTTGGCGGGACGTTGCGAGGCTCGCTGCTGCGAGGAGCGGACAGTGTGAGCTGGCTTACTGGTGTGGTTTCCTGCTTGCTGCGTGGCCGTCTGCGAGACAGCGAAACCCATCCCGAGCACACACACACACAGCCGCAGCCTAGCTGGGAGTTTGTGTGTGTGCTCACACACAGACTCACAGCCTACGTAACGGCTCCGCAGATTGGTCCATTTGGACCAATGGGTCGTCGTTACGTCACAGTGACCAGGAAGAAAGAAATGGAAAAAGAGAAATCTCCAACGAGGCGTTCTGGGGCAGCACAGACAGGTCTTTTCTGTGTTAGAGTTTTACTCGCTACAGGGTGTACTTTGAGGGTTTGTGACTGCAGACCGTTTACATGCAGAAAACCTTCATAACACACAAGGGGACGGGTAATAAACGGAAAAGCATGACATGGAACCTTTAAAAGAGACAGTTCCTCTAAATAGATGGATGTAGGAAGTATTTTTTGGGTACAACACAGATGATAACACTTTTATGTTTTTAGATGTCCGTCCTACCTTCTCATGAATCTCTTGGGTGGACTGGGCATCGCAGAAGGCCACTGTGGCCACATCTTTGAGGATGGGCATCTCCACAGTGCAGTCGCGCCCGTCCAGCAGGGCAACCAGGGGCCGCGGGTGCATTGGCCCGTTGAGGATGGGGGGTCGGATACCTGAGTCCAGCAGGAAGAAGACAATGTTGGATATCAAGTCCATGGCAAGAGGTTAAATATTCAATGACAAATCTGGGTAATGCTTAAAAATGTAAAATTATTTTTGTGACACACATTTTCACACAACGTGCTGATGACCAGGAGATCTCAGTGGTTAATTGTTTAATATTTAACCTTAGAGAATATATTTGACGGCTACGCATGTTGGTCTGTAGCTACGCTGTCCAGCTCTGTGGCTCTCAGAGACAGCAGAAGAAAACGCATGTAAGGGAGTACACATCTTTTCATTCAAAATGTATGCGTCATTTGATCCATTCTTCTGAATTTATAAAAGACCAGCAAATAAACTTCTAAGAAAGAATATGGGAGGATAATGATCGGAATCTGAGGAAACGTTCAAATGACCTGATCAAAATGAGGCAATAAACCACTGAAGCCAACAGAATATAAAATAACACAAAACAATAAAATGATAGCGCCTCTAAACTGATCGATTCATAATGCTGCCAAACCTCTTTCAATCAACTCAAATGAAAGCACCGATTTCATATCACGTTATTTTGTTTTCTTCCTCTTGAAATGAACTGGTTGGTGATAGGCTAATTGATGTCAAGCTACCAGGAGCAGATTAACCAACAACATATATCCCTGATGATGACACTCGGTGTCACTTCAGAACCAGCAAGGATAAGAAACTAATGACTCAACACTCTGCATTTCCCATGTCTGGACTATCAGATGGGTTTTGTGTCATCATACCCTCAGAAAACCTTCCCTGCACGCATGGCTAAAGTTAACAGGCCTGACTGCCACACTCCTAAGACAATAATAACTCAGACTTTTATGACTCTGTTTTTCCAACACATCCACCACCGACACCTTGAAGGAACCACAGGGATGATGTGTGTAAGGGCTCTATAGTTACATAGGGATGTGTAACTAAATATGTGATGGGGCGTGGAGAGGGTCCGGCATCATAGCCTATTTGGTATCAACCTCCAACTTTGTTTCGTCATCTCAGGAACCAGCATACACCGAGCCACTTTTATCGATACATGTCAGTTACGCTTGGGAGCGTAGACTCCTCCGAATGGGAAAGTTAGATGTTGGCTAATGAAGCAGAAGTCTGGGAACCCGACCTGCCACTGTATGAGAAGTGCTCACACAGAGGGGAGGGGCTGGGATGGGAGGGGGAGAGGTTATGGAGTGTGGCGGCTGGGGGGGGGGGGGGGGGGGGGGGAGGGGTGGAGAAAACTGCGGGGTCTCGGTGAGGAGGCGGTGGGGGTTCACGAGGGGGTCTGAGTCATGACCTAAATTCTCATGTCTGGAAGAGTCCCTCCTTCCTATTTCCCTCCTTCTTAAGACACACAAACACACACCTTACTGACAAAGATCTGCATATTTGCACCATGGCCATTTACCATTATGCCAACAAAGGAAATGTTGCATGTCAAAAATAAATCAATGCCATAAAAAATGACACTTCTCAGCCAATGCATTGATGTTAAATAAGAGGAAATGAACACCAACTGTCAGCGAAGCAGCTACGACCTCTCTCCCTGTAATCTTTTCAGCAGTCTTTGGCTTGTACTAACCACATGAACACACTATCTTGTCCCTGCTTTGTAACAGGTGTGTGTGTGGCCGGGTGGGGGAGTGTGGCTAGCTGGAACATTTACTTGGACAGAGGGCAGGAGGTAATGGTGAGACTGCAGAGGAGGGAAGGGAGCTTGTAGCCGCGGGTGGAAAACAAATATTTGTGAACACTTCCTCTGACATCCGAGCCTTTCCCAATGCATGCATGAAGCCCACACAGGCAACATAAATCAAGAAAAATACACCAGTCACCGTTACAAAAAATGCAATACAATGTACTGCAGTCCATTTAGCAGTGGGATTCACATTCATCGCAGATGGCTAAAGAATGCTAACAGGCCAACCGCTACACGCTGAACACACAAAGACACGCTTACTGTGTAGAAAAACCCAAAGGGACTCATCACAAAGACCCCTTCTGAATAAAAGTAGATCTGGAAATATACAAGTAGACCTACACAAAGAGTAATTTGAGTAAAGGGCACTGGCATACCCGAGGCCTACTAAGCACAAGCATGGCCGCACACACAATACAATTCATTCAGTGATTCATTCATTCTCCCTCCCTCTCCCTTTCTTTCCCCTCACTCCCTCCTCCTCTTCTCTCTCCCTCTGGCTGCAGTTGTAGGAGTAAGAGGTGAGGGGGGAGGGGCAGCAAACGATGATAATGCAGCAAGCAGCGGTACTCCACCCAGACGCAGCTAGACACACACACGGCTATTCAGTTCCTTCTTGACGGCTGCGGCAACACCAGTTCGCGCTGAACACAAAAGGGGAAACTGCACACACAAAGCTGCTCTACACCCAAACCTACAGACCTCTCCCCCCACAGTTCACACATTTCAAAAACACATGCCAAAATAGAAAACACATGAGCACCGGGCCTAACCTTGCATTATGAAGTCTGTGTGAGCCTGTCTTCCTCTCTCTCTCTCTCTCCCTCTCTCGCCTTGCTCTCCCTCTATCGCTCTTTTTTCTCCCTCTCTCTCTGTCAGCCTGCTCTTGGCTGGCTGGATCCCAGCTGTCATCCACGCCCAGCCCCTCCCCCACGGCTAGCCTCCAATCACAGGCAGCCCCATTGTAGGCCAGCCAACCAGCACTAACCTCATTAGAATAGCCAGGGCTGAGGCCGAGGGCGGTTTGTGCTGTTGTCGTTTTTTAAAGAGACAGCTGGCCCGTTTCCCTGTAGCTGCGGCCACGACCCTTCACCCTGTCCTCTCCCTCTCACCCGTCTCCAGAGACCCACCCAGACTGTTCCCTCCATTTTAGTACACCATTATGTCTGATCTCCATCGTCTACTCTCCCCTCTACAACAACAATCACTTTTAGAAATCTGCACTAACCGTCACATACACAAACACTTGTTATCAACATAAAAAGTTAACTTATTAAGTCTTCAGCATGAAATACACTGCAAACGTTCATCTGTACATTCCTTGCATTCCAATTTAACCAAAAAAGTTTACAAACAACAACTTCCTACACAACGCACTCAAGAGGCGGTAAGAAATACAATCAGGGTCAACGTTTCAACCAGTCTGCTCACAATACTAGAGGTTAAGAGCACAGCGGAGGACTCTGAACAGTAGCCTTTAAATCAGCATTTAAAGAACAATGTTCCTAGAGCTATAAATAAAAACCAGCCAAGATATTACAGACAAATGATACAAACATAATATGAAACTGTCAGCATCTGGTTTGACTACATACTTAAGAAACAAAGAAGAAAGTTGCTGGATGAAGCTGAAAGGTTGACACTTGCAATCAGGTACAGGGCTTTCACTTATTATTTAGTTTCCAAGGAAATGTCTAAAAATGCCATTCCAAAACCAAAAGATATTCAGTTTAATAAAATGCAAAAAGAGAAAAGCATGAATATGTCAAAGGCGGAAAACAAAATTGTCTGCTATTTTTGCAAGAACAATTTGTTTATCATTTAATGAAAATAGTTGGCTTTTTTCCTTTTAGTCGACCAACTAACTAATTAGTTAGTTGACTTATTATGTAGGGCTTTTTTTTATTTGTGTACAGGGCCCAATTGTCTGATGTATCAGTGTTTGTGTGTGGCTGTATAAAATAAATGTCATAAATATATATATATATATAAAATCGGAGACCGCTTCTGCCCGAAACCATCTCACAGGCAGATACAAATACATATTCAGATACCCTCTGTGTGCCGATACAAGTTGACAGATCTCTATGATTTTTTAATAGTGTGTATATATAATGTTTTAATTTACTTAAAAGCAACAACAACAAAAAAGCATTGCAAAGGGAATCTAGTTTTCTACTGTGCATACAGTGTAAGATTTTTAGTTTTTAGAGAGTACTTGTCCATGGACAGGTGAGTTTGGCAATTTACTTGTCCGAATACATTTTTCACTTGTCCAGAAAAATCGATCGGCATCGTATTTTACATTTTCCCACGGTTTTTACGGTAAGATTTTACTGCATCACACATAGGGTTGGGTATCGTTTGGATTTTAACGATTCCGGTTATGCTTTTCGATTCCGGTTCTTTTCGGTTCTCGATTCTGGTTCTTTGAGAGGGTAAAAATAAGTCCCATGACAAACTGGGAGAAAAATGTATTTATGAAAACATTAAGTCAAATCTGTATTCCTATTTACAAATCACTTCATACTGTTTAATTTTGTTACGGTTATTGAATAAATTATATTAAAATAATTGTTTAGTTAGTTCTAAGTGGTGCAGTTTGAGAATGTACAATTGGCGCAGTCTCCTCTGATGTTGCACTGCAACCTGCCTGTGAGACAGAGTCCAACCACACAGTCTGTGTGTCCAACACATGTCCTGCAATAAACATGCTGCAGCTGCCCAGCTGCTCACTGTTTGTAAAAGTAAATAAATAGTATTTTCATTTCAATAATGTACTTTCTATACCCTGCTTCATAAACAATACTGACATCCCTGTGCTCCACCGAGTCTGGGGATGTGAGGACAGCGCGAGGACACAGACAGGGAGGCTGATTTAATTCATAAAGGAAATGGCGGTCAATATTAACAATATAGGAGCTAAAACGCTTAATAACCTTCATTACGTGTTAAGAGAAAGAACATAAGAAAGTTTGACAAATATGAGGCTGTTAAACGGGCAGCAGATCCGCTGTGTGTAGAAAGAGAGAGACGCTGAGCTGCACCGTGCAGCGATCAGCTGATACGGCAACACGATACGGAGAATAGGGAGAGAGAGCTGCGGTACGCGGGGCTCGGCCTCCGCCTCCTGTCCTCACAACTCTTATTAATCCCGGTACCGGACAATTGTTATTATTTGGTCTTACTCGGATCCGAGTTTTGCTTCCCAAGCCTGCCAATGTGCTACATGTCCCGCCCTGCCCCCGTCTAACAGTACAGAAAGCGGCGAGATGCATTTCCTAAGGAATCGACAAAAAACCAAAAACAATAGCGGACACGGACAATTTGCGAATTAGTTCTACCTTTCGTAAGCTGAATTTATCAATAATTTGTCAATAAATAAGTGCGAAAAACGTCACTTGTCCATCGGACAAGTCGATTGAAAGATCTACTTGTCGGATATTGTAAATAACACGTCCCGGAGGGTGGGACGTGTGCTTTTTCGCACACTGACATATGACAATAAATGCTTGATATGAATGGTAATGACAGTGTAAAAAAGTCACACCCGAATAGCATGGTAACTAGATAGGTGAAGGTTGGGCCCCATGTATCACATTAAAAAAACTGATAAGCACAATAATAAAACCTCATTAATGTAAGCTTTTGCTTCCGTTTAGTTTGTGTATGAGTATTTTATGAAATCTCACCCTCACAAATGCGGTCAAGTCTCTGTCGCTTGACCTGTTTGTGTTTGTCCATCAGAGCCATAGACCGCGCAGTCTAAACCTGGGACAGAGAAGAACAGATCCAGGTGCTTTGGATTCTTTTTAATGTTGACCACGTAGTTTCCCCTGCAGACAAATTAGAAAAAACAGTCAATTAAGACAAATTGAACTGCCTAATAACACATTATATAGAAAAAGTTATCAAAACATCACAAACAAAATAAAAAACAGAATTGCACTAGATTGAATTTCTGTGTGCTAACATTTTGAAGTGACTTAAATGTACAGGTGGGAAAAAGTATATGTAGGCCTATGTGTAATTAAAAGAAGGACATGATGTCAAACAACTTGAAGAATCCAGGCTGAACAGCAAAGACTCACAATTGTGTAAACATGATTAATGCATTGAATTAGCCGAGAAATGGGTTATAGTGAACTATTTTTACAGTTACACTCACTCACCTGGAGAACAATGTCCGTTGTGCCAGTCAGATTGCCAACTTAGTTTACACTGTAAACAAATAAAGTGGATATTGATCAAAGTATGAACATTAACAATATTAATCCAGAATGAATACAGGTGGTTTGTCATGAAGACCTATATCACCAACTTCATGTCATTGATTGACAAGTGTGTTTAGATAACAGGTAACTTGTGCTCATAACTCTTAGTACATCATCACTTTACTAGACCATTTTTTTACTTTTTGGAAGTTTTGGATCATGGTCAACAACTTTGTTTTCGCTTGCAATAATAACACAACTCTCTCATACAACGCATTTATACATTTCTGTTCAACAATACCGCTGCCAGTCAACGTTAGTTGAACCAGTAGGTATTTTAACGATAACCTTACGGTGAAACTATCAATGGTCCGGGACCCCCTCGTTAGCATCAAAGTAACCGTTAACTAGCTAACTAGCTTGTGGTGCTAGCAAAACCGTTTATTGGTTATCGAGAACAGGATGGAGAATATTAAAATGTTCCATGCAAATACATGAGTCGATAGGCTGTTAGGAGATAAGTATATCCTAGTTAGTCTCTTCGCTTTGAGATAGTTTAGCTTGCCTTAACTTCTGTATCCCTGTCCCGGCTAATGCTAACTAAATAAATAGCACGACAGTTAGCTAGCCAAGCTAACCCAAATACAAACATTAAGCAGCTAACATTTTAATGAAAACTACAATTTCCTTCCAACTCCCGAATATTCTCAGCATTTGTTCTTATTCAGCCACCCCAATGTTATAAATCATGTCAATTAAAATGAAAAAACATAGCTACATGTATGAAGCGTTTGCAGAGTTGCTAACGTTAGCTAGCCAGCGCCGTTAACTAGCGTGCCGCTGAGTGTGGGAGAGATGCAGGCGGAGGGGGACAGCCCATTTCGTCCGATTTGTTATCAGCGAGTGGTGCTACAATGTGAAATATCTGACCCAGAAGCTATAAAGTGGAATAATCATACAGGGAAATGTGAATCGTACACATGGCTGAATCCAGGCAAGACTACTTTTAAACCCAGTGACCAAATCTTGCAAAAAATGTCAGTTATTTACCCCGGATAAACTCTTTCAGGAGTGCTGAAACAGTGTGCGTGCGTCGGTGGTGTTCGCTCTCTCCCGATCGCCATGAAATTAGACAAAAGAGGAAGTGGCTGTTGGTGGGGGGGTCAGACAGTCTGTGAAAAAGCATCGGTGGACTGGAATGAGCGCCCTCACCTTACACGGCGGATCGGCATGCATAATATTACGACTCAAGAATAATAAATGCTTGTTTACAAAACTATACCAACAACTTTCTGGCTAAAGTTGAACTTTTCCTGCTCTTGATTTTCAAAGTTCCAACCATGTAATCGTTTTTAAATAAGTTATTGTTACACTCTTTAACATTATTCAGATTTTTTTGTTCAACCTTTATTTGTTCCACTCGAAACTGAACTTCAAGATAAGCATTCATATCTGCAGTTTGAAAAATCTAAATTGATTAAACTTTCAAACAAATCAAGTGTATTCTGAATTTAGCCACTAGGTGTCACAATAATCCTCTGAACTAACTTCCCCCGATACTTCTGACTAACTTAGTGGTGAATGGAAGACAAGGCACTTTTTGGAGAAAAAAATATCATTCTCTATTAAATTTTATTTGTACATAAATTGTGCAACAGGAGTATCTCCATCTGAAAACACATGAAAAATCATCTCTGAAAGGCCACCAAATCATCTGCTTCAACACCACCTTTGTTGCATACACTCAGAATTGCCTTGCTGTGTTCTCACTAATCATTGTACAGTACTTTACATTGTGCCCAACGGAGTCCAGTTGCAGCAAAGATTCAGCTATTAAAATTGACTATTATAGTGCTTGTGCCACCTGTTCAAAATCTGAATCAGTGCAAATAGAGATTGCAAAAATGTCTGGCTGTAAAAAAAAAAGAAGCACCAAGAAAACTGTATTTTAAGCTTAAGGCATGGTCAGTTTACAGTATTATTGTTGAGCATATCTGTTTAAAGCAATTAGGAGAACTCCAAAAAGAAAATATTAAATGGAGTTATCCTTTGTGTTATATTAGGAACCTTTTCCCTTTGATGATGTAGAGTTACTCAATAAGAACAAGCTTAATCAATGACAGAACAGCAGTAAAAGTAAACGTATCTTTAGTGTCTGCGAGGGAACAGCAGTGAACAAGGAATGTATCCTAATAAACATACATGAGCATTTATATAGACCAGCATTGGTATTATGTTGTTTCGGGAAACCAAATATTATGTGGACATGTGTGCACCTTCCACAGATCAAGCTTCCAATCCAAATGAAGAGACCCAAATACAAATGTAGACTTCACCAGTATCTGAGTGTGCTTACCTCTAATCCATTATTGTATTGACTTTTGATGTGCATTTGAATAACTTGTGAGAATAATGTTAGCACATTTTGCCTTCTCCAGTATTCTTTGATGAGGATGTCAAGATGCAATGGATAACATCAATTAACACTTTTCAATATGAAATATTTGCCAAAATTCTGTGTACATGAAAATTATCTTATTTGCTCATGCACATTTCAAATAGGCAGGCACTGTGACATTGTTGGGAAATCTTGAATCATGTACTAGCTCAAGTGTTACAATCATGACATTGTAATTTGATATTAGCTTCTAATTTCTTGGTTGTTGATTATGAACTCTCGACATATGTTTTAAGACAGCAGCAGGTTCAAAGACTCTGCCAGAAGGGCACACAAAGCCTACAGGTGTGCTTTATATAGTTATGAATGCATTAATCACACTCAGAGCATCAAGGAGTGGTCAGTTTTCTTCTATGAGGGTCAAGTCCAGTTCTGTGCAGTCTCTTTCAAAAAACATATTTTGCCCTTCATCTATTGAAGTCCTTTTTCGTTCATCTTCTTCCTCTTCTTCACTTTCACTCAGTGGCCCAATGCTGGCTCGTCCCAGGAACTCTGCAGAGGAGAAGGATGAGCGCTGCTCTGCATGGGAAGACACTGGAACTATGCAGCCACCAGTACCACAAACTGGGTTCTTGTGATTACCAATCTAAAAACAGGAGAAATAAGTTTCATAATTATCAAGTCACAATTCATCAGACTCAAGCACTTTCTTAGTCTATAATGTTATTATATTTTTAACTGTTATCCAATTGTTCTTTGGTGAATTGACAATTGTTTAAACCTTGTACTAGGAGATCTAGGAGGGCCAGCAAGTCAATATACTGTTCTTTTTTGTAGCTAACCTACTTTATATGTATAGGGTGGTTCACCTTGGGGATGGGATGTAATATAGAAATAGAAAAATAAATGTCCACATTGTCAAAGGAAGTCTGCATTTAAAGATTTAAAGCATGGGTTAAAGTCAGGCTGGAACTGTGTTCAGTCGGTGTGGTGGTGATAGGTCCCCTTTAAGTTGTGATCATGAAAAATGCACTTTTTGATGTCTTTTATACATAAATATGTGTCCCCGGTGCGTCAGGGAACTCACGCAGCGTCAGAAAAATAAAAATCCTCTCTTTTCCTCCGTACCCAAATCTCTAAAAACGGGGGTACAATGGAGCTGATCCAGATTTGGGTCCGATATGACGTAATATCGGAAATGTTGACCCACGGCACTATCAGAAACAATGCCCGACTGTTTTGGACGTAATATGGTCGGTGTTTACATTAGCATCGCCAACCCTCAGAGCTAACCTGTACTGGAGAGCATGTGTGTGAAGAAGCTGGATATTAAAAAACGGAACTCACCTTGTGGTATAACCGGCAAGAGAGAAAGCCTTTGAGCTCCATACTGTTTCCAAAATAATCCTTGATAATCCATGATATGGCATTTCATCACTGCAGTATTTAGTTTAGACAGTAGCTGCCGGGTCCCGCATGAGATCAGCCCCCTCCTTTTTTATATATCTGAGACCTATGCTATTGCCTAAAAATAGCATGATCGGTGCACTTTAAGACACTCGTGAAGTTCATTTTCTCACAGATTCGGTCAAATTGCCTGCACCAAAAAACCCATCCCAACTGCAATGATGAGATCAAGAAAGATTTATGAAAACAGATCTGGAGGCCCAACATAGGCACAAGGGAACCAATGCCCCATGATACTGTATCTTCCCTACTCCATTCACTAAGTCTATCAATATGAGAATATTAACCAAACGACCTACCTTGACAGCCCATTAGAATCTTTGCTCACCTGTGTCATCTTGCTGAAGTCAAGGCCTGGCCTGGGGCAGGGCAGAACATCTGGGTCATGGCGCCTCTTCAAGCGAGGTTTCCGCATGTCGCAGGGCTGTGAGTGGCATCGTGGCAGAGCTGGGTGTAGGTCGCGCCTAGAGGAGGAGGGTGTGCTGCAGGCTGAAGTGGGAGATGGAGAGAGGGCTGGGTGTTCTATGCCAGAACAGCCATATGTCAGAGCAGAAGCAGGAAAGGGCTGGGGGGGCAGGAGCACCACCGAGGCATCCAGAATGTGCACAGGGGAGAGAGAGAAGCGGCGCTGCAGCACTGAGTGAGAAACCAGAGGGGCCGGTGAGGAGGAGCAGGAGGAAGGAGTAACAAAGGAGGCAGAACAGGCTCCTTTCAGTTTGTCACAGGGGTCCCATGAGAAGCTCCATGGTAGTGGGGAGTCAGAGGACAGTGATAAGCTAAAGAAGGTAGGGCTAGAAGATGAGTGTAGGGAGGAAGAGGGGAAAGAAGGACTGGGACCACAAAGTGGCAAAGAGCTGGCTCCAGAGCTTGAACTATTTGCTCCTCCGCATTGGCAGCCACGATTGACTGGGGTCCAAACCTTGGATGCTCTAGGATGCCAGGTGGAACGACACCGCGACAGGTCCTCTGGAACAGACAGGGACCGGCAGTGGCGTTTTGGAGGTGGTGGTGGGGGTGGTGGTGAGCTTTGGAAAGCTTTGTCTGTAAAAGAAACCTCTGGTCTCTGGAGAAGTTCTCCGGAGTCTAGTCCACAGGAATCATCCAGAGAGTTGGCTTTGGAGGATAGTTGTGTAGCAGAGCCGATTTCTGAAAATGTCAAAATATAGCCATGAGGCAATTTTCCTCATCAACAGGTTCATAATATTGCACTTAATTCAATGAACTTGCCTTGGGAGGATCTACAAGCACTCCAGGAGACAGTGGGACTGGAGCCCACTGCAGGTAGTGACTGAAACAGAAATATAACTTAAATACTAAAACTCAAAAGTGCATTAATGAAAAAAGGTACTTTTTGTATCAAACTTACCACATTCACATTGAATGAGAAAGCCTTGTAATAAGGCTCTTCCAAACTCTGCTTACGGAGCTGCTCTGTGATAAGCGTTACCATATTTGTAGCTACAATCCAGGGATAGACATGGAGATTATAAGGAGATTGACTGAGGGCAGTGGAAATCGTATGCGTCAGGATGCTGGCGTGGTTTGTGGTGTCCCCTCCACACCTCAACCAGCCAGACTGACCAGCTTTCTCACTGTGCCACCGTCATTTTAATGCCACCTAGAGGGACAAATGAGAAGGGATCCTTATAAAATGATGTCAATGATTAACTGAAACTGGTCAAACACATTGCAAAGACAGCACTTTGTTGAACAGTAGCATATCAATTGCATGACAGATTAATCATGCCTCAGAAGAGTGCAAAATCTGCTAATGTGGACTTTCCCCCAACATGTTATAACTGTGCTAGTACAGAATATACCAGATGTAGAAAACCAGAACACCTGAAACAATGTGTTCAAAGTAATGACCAGATATTTCTTTACAAGATCCAGCCTGGGATATACATGCTGCCTAAATCACACGAGTCAGAAGTTTAACTGTGGGTTTTCTCTGGAAGTGTTTCCTTGTACGATGTGAGGGTCAAAGGACAGAGGGTTTCGTATTGTCATACTGATATTCTGTACAAACTGTGAAGACCACTGAGACAAATGTAACATTTGTGATATTGGGCTATATAAATAAACATTGATTGATTTATGTTCAAAGGCAGAGAGAACACTCGTGGACATGAGGAGACCCAGGACAAAGAAACACTTCACATTCCCTTAGGCAGAGTGAATATGGTTGGCTATGATAGGGACTACAGACATAGACTAGGATGCCCAAAGTTAAAACCAGTGGGGAAATACAATGGCATTCAAAGTCAGTTGGGTTTAATAAAACACAAATAACAATTATTGTGAAGTAGGAGGAAAGGGGGATGGAAAGAGGAGAAATAAAAGGGATGGGGTGGGGGAAGTGTGTGAAAAATGAATGGGGATAGGGTTTGAGAGAATGCCATAATATCTTTGCAGGGGGGACAAAAGAACAGTGAACAGGTCTCAATGGCTTATATTACCAAGGCAAAGCAACAGTGTGATGTACCAAGGAGGTAAAGGGCAACAAGATAGCCTGTGTGTCCATTTCAAATCACATAGTCTTTTGACATGTACTTTCCCATCCAAATAGCACATATGTAGCCTTTAGGCTCTAATGGTTACTCAATCTACAAACATCACAGCAGATCTGCGCCAGGCACAAAAATGTACATATCAAAATGAAACTAAAAGAGAAAGCAAAAATCTAAACTTGTATGCGCTGTATTAAAATGTAACATGGCCTTTATGCCTTTGCACTGCTCTTTGAAAGTTCAAAGCACCAATAATGTTGACCAAAGCTAATGCTGACATCCAAACCCGACACATGATGAAACATAATATTTAACAATATCAACTTTAAAAAGATGAGTTGTTAATCTGAAATAAAACGTCAAACTCATTGAAGAGACTTAGTTGCAGCACTTGCTGTTGGCAGTTAGATGTGGCCTCCAGGGCCTTTCTCCTTGTGGCAAACATAGTGCTACTATGCTAACCTAGTTCCACATGCCAGAAGACATGCTACTTCGCCTGCACAGGGCACACAGGCTAAACATCATCATGTAGCAGCTACTACTGTTAAAAAGCACCCTACACACTCATTTTGCTCATACACGGATAAGTCCATTGCTGTCAATCACCCGCTGATTTAAATCTTTAACATCACTTTACAATATTGGTAACACACTTACCGTTGCTCATAAATAATGATATATTATATTCCAAAGACGACGACTAGTTATACACACACCTATCACAACACACTATTAATAAGACTCTAGGTAAGGTTAATTTAGGGGTCTGGGCCTATAGACATGTTCTGTCTTTACTCATTTGCAAACGAACACATAAGTTTAAGACAGTGTTTCGCAGCTTGCCTGTCTACAAATCACAACGATTATGTTAGGCTTTTAATTGGCTATCACTTTGTTCACAACATTAGCTGTAGGACAACTGTTTGTCATTGACAATGTAGGACTTGGATATATTTACTGGCTAAATCTGATAACGACTTATGCTGGTGAGCAGATAGTAAGCTAGCTCAGCAACACGATGCAGCCCGTGCAACACTATAAGTGTTAGCTGTTAGCTAGCTGATAACAAACGTTACTAGTGTTAGTGCATTCGGTCTGCGACAAGCTCATCGCTTATCATTATACACGAATCTAGCGATGATTCGTTTGAATATACCATAACAAGGGGTGATTATACATCAAGCGGTTGTGTCGATGGTGTACAAGTAAATACGTTCTAGCATTAGCTTGGTTACGCAGTCTGTTTTCAGCTAGCATGCTACAGCTGTCCTGATGTATTACCTGCGTTCAGTGGTTCCTTAGCAACCGAAGCTGCACACAGTGCACCGGATAGAGAGACGTTTAGCAGAGTATTTATAGCGGCTGGACCGTACCAATGCAGAGGTATTTTTAATACACTGATTTGAAAGACATCCTTCTAGGAAACTCAGCAATTGTCATATAACGCTTACTTTTTCAAAATGATAGTTTTGTCAGGTGTTCAAAACCGTAACTACATTTTTAGCAACACATTGCATTTAATGTGTGAGTCCCTTTCCGGTTGAGAGACCCACACAGTTGGGCCCCTCTAAATAAAGTGACAGCTTAAAAAACTGACCAAACAATGTTTTAGCGAGAAAATAAATGTTTGTTTCTGATAAATATATATTTATACACAACCAACATATGTAATAAAGCCTACACATCATTTCGACACATACACGTTGGAATGCTTAGTGTGGTAAATACAATTCTACTATGGACGCATGCGTGGTAAGGACTTCTGATAAAAAAATCCATAACTACGACACTGCTCTAGTTAACGGCTAATGCAAAGCTGTATGTCCATTGCCTGATGAGTCTTTGACTCACAGAGTGAACCTACAGAGAATATGGCACTAGAAAAACTCAGGAAAGAGGAAACTCTCGTTCTGCGGAAGAAGTTAATCGGGTAGGTCAAAGTCAAACTGTTGTTCTTTCTGGCTGACATATGCCAGCAAATCAGGGTGTGCTGCTAAGCATTGCGTGCAAGAAAGTTACTGACACGTCCTTTTTTCTTCGATTACAGGCAGTCATGCAGACTATTCTATTCAGAAGACCCTGTGAAAATAGTAAAAGCAAGAGGTCAATTTATATTCGATGAAAATGGCAAGCGCTATCTGGACTGCATCAGCAACGTTCAACATGGTAAAACGATTATTATTCAATGCATAGTCCATTAATTGCCTTCACAAAACACAGCACACGACACTCTTGTGTGTCTACTTAAAGCATTAGTCAAATACACTGTGTCCTTTTGTATTGTAGCTTATCTCTTCAACATTGGGTGGAAATATTACTTTCAACTTAAGTTTTTAGTTTCTTTCTTTTACCAAATGTGCTTTACTTTTATTGTTGTTCTTTTATGTTTTGTTGTAAGTAAGAACTGTGTAGTGCTTTTACTACTTAGCACAATAATTCCCTCTGGATTAATAACGTTTTTTTTGTAATATCCTATTGTCTTATTTTAGTGGGCCATTGTCACCCAAGCATTACAAAAGCTGCATCAGCACAAATGGACCTCCTGAACACAAATGCTCGATTCCTGCACGACAACATAGTGATGTATGCCGACCGCCTGGCTGCCACCCTGCCTGAGAAACTGTGTGTGTTCTACTTTGTTAACTCCGGGTAAGTAATAACCTCCAACTCGGACAAATTGGTATTTCTTAAGTAACATATCAGTTATATATCAGTTAGTTAACATATCTGTTCTGCTGACAGTTCAGAGGCCAATGATCTTGCCCTACGCTTAGCACATCAGTACACCCAACATGAGGATGTAATTGTGCTTGACCAGTAAGTTTATTCAGTTCTATCCCACATTCACCCTCTGACTGAACACTTGTTTACCAATTACAAATGAACTCTCTTTTTATACCAGTGCATACCATGGGCATCTAATGTCCCTCATCGATATTAGTCCTTACAAGTTCCGGAAACTGGCAGGACAAAAAGAATGGGTTCATGTGGTGTGTACATTTATGACCATCATTACAAAAAACTGCTGACCAACAGTGGATAGCTTAAACAATGTGTTTAATCCTCCTAGGCACCCTTACCAGACACCTACAGAGGCCTTTACAGAGAGGATCACCCCAACCCCGGCCAAGCATACGCTGATACAGTAAAATACCTAATAGAGGAGGTGCACAGGGATGGCCGTAAGGTACATTTTAACACATTTTCGTGCAGCCTTAATAACACTTTTTGTTATGCAGATAATCATGACCTATGCATGACATTTATATACATGTTCCCAATAGATCTCGGCCTTCTTTGCTGAGTCATTGCCAAGTGTTGGAGGACAAATAATCTTACCCCAAGGATACTCCACTAAAGTTGCAGAGTGAGTGGTGTTCACTCTTTTTTTATTTTCAGTTTTTCTCAGCCACATGTACGATAGAAGTGACACAGTGGATTTCCTACAGATATGTGCGATCAGCTGGTGGAGTGTTTGTGGCAGACGAGGTGCAGACAGGCTTTGGACGTGTGGGAAGTCACTTCTGGGCTTTCCAGCTGCAGGGGCAGGGTTTTTGTCCCGACATAGTGACCATGGGTAAACCAATGGGCAATGGGCATCCCCTGGCATGTGTGGCAACCACTGAAGAGATAGCTGGAGCTTTCACAGCCAACGGAGTGGAGTACTTCAATACGGTGAATATGCACTTAGTCAACACAATAATATACGAATACATTTATCTTAAAGTTTTATTTAGTTTTTTTCCAACTGTATGCTGCCAGGATGCATTTTAATAACTAAAATGATATATAAATATCAAGACATTTTTATTATAATGTTATAAGTCTCTTAACTCTTGGCAGCTATGTTCATCACTGACTACTGCTTGAGGACTGTTGTTTACAAGTCAATCTGTTTTTAAACAAAATAAAAATGGTACTTTAGAAATCGGTTTGAGCTTCCTTTTGTTTAGCATGCATATATCAAGATTCAAATATTTGTTTTGGTTCTAACTTCATGCAGTTCGGAGGGAATCCAGTGTCCTGTGCAATTGGCCTGGCAGTACTTGATGTGATAGAGGAAGAGGACCTAAAAGGAAATGCCACCAGGGTGGGAGCACATCTCAAAGATTTGCTTATAAAGCTACAACCACGACATCAAATAATTGGAGATGTCAGGTAAGGATCTGATGACTACTGCACTCATGTTCTTCAAACTACAAACAAAACATCAATTATTCCTCCAGCCTATATGGTCAATTGTGGGAATCTGGACTCCTTTCATTAAAATTCAAGGAACAATTGAAGGCTGTGAAAAATGACAGCTGTAACTTAATCTGAACATATATCTGTTGAAAGCTTTGAGCTTCCTTGTAAAAAATGATATTTAATGTATCTCTCGTTTATATAAGGTTATTGTCCAGGGACCTAAATGGGACATCACATGGTTTAATGATGAGAAGGGTCACAAATGACGACAATCATGGGTTCCCAAGTGTCAACCCCCCACCTGTCAAATCAATAAAAATAAATATGTATTTATTTTAACAGAGGTGTGGGGCTGTTCGTGGGTCTAGAGCTGGTTACAGACAGAGAGCAGAGGACTCCTGCCACAGAAACAGCAGCGTTGGTGGTGAAGAGGTACAACACTTGAGTGCAATAAAGCAATCAATGTTTATAATGTTAAACAACTTGTTCTTCCTTCTATACAGTCTGGGCTGAGCAGTCATTAATGATGTCCCTTCTCTATTAGGTTAAAAGAGGAGGATAATATCTGTGTCAGTACAGATGGTCCCTGGGAAAGTGTCATTAAGTTCAAACCACCAATGTGTTTCAGTATGGATGATGCAGAACTGACAGTAAAATGTATTGACCGCATCCTCACAGGTTGGTTACACTATCATATTTTGTCTACACTCGTTACTACAGGATTGTTTGCCTATATTTGTTGTTTTCACTAATTTTAAAGAACTCTAAAGACCAAACTTTTATTTAAATGTTGTATAACCTCTTCAATTTGTTTTGTTCTCACAGACATGGAAGCCAGTGACATTTAAACTGCAAAAGGAAGACATCTATGGTTTGTTAAACCTGTAGAAAAACTTTTAATTGCATCAGACATTGTCAGATGGTCACATTCATAACATTCAGAGGTAGAGATGTGAATGTCTATACTTCCAGAACAAGTTCATTCACTTCACTTAGAACATGTTGCCGTTTTCCCTTTTAACACTGAAAAATGTTTACATTTAAGTGTCAAAGCTTAGCAATATGACAAATCAAAGTGGGACAGTCATTTAAATGGTATCTAGAGCCAGGAAAGTGTATTATAGTTCATATTTGTTTCCCTTTTTCTCCCCCCAGATGTTCAGTGCCTTTTTAAGGCATCGGCATCACTTCAGTCAACCGAGATGAAAACTACCAAATTTAAAAGGGATGCCAGCTGAACTGTTAGCCCGTCTGGCAACAATTAACTAATAAAAGGTTTTCACCCCAATCCTGACTAATTTGTTCTATCAACAATTGCGATATTTAAAATATCAGTCCCAGTTAGCAATACTGATCAGCAACATGTTCTCAATACATATGGTTGAGATAAGCACTTACCAGATCACTATCATTAACTTCTGTTCACATTTATAAAATGCTAAAGTACTGCAGTTTTACATAAAGTGGAGTGGGAATTAACCAGCCAGTTTGCTGCAGGTAGTGAAGCTCTCTCCCACATCTTTCCAAAGAGGCATCCGTAGAGATGTTAACATTACCCAAGACAAAACAAGCCATTTAACAGTACAAAACATTTAACATTAACTTTACAAATAATAACAAAAGGATCCATGTGTAATATAAACCAAAAGTTTATTTCTACCAATTTGCCCAATACACTAGAGGAATGAGTATCCAGTGAGAGAGGGAGTACCCTCTTACATTAACAGGCTTGCGTTCAGTTGAATAACACTAGTAAAGCCACTTAAAATTGCAGACATGATGGGGGAAGAATCTCCATAAAAGCCAAAAGAAAAAAGATGCTGGTTGTCTTCGTCTACTAGACCATCTGAAAACATTCACTTGACACTCTTACAATGAACCCTTTGATTAGTTTAAATCCCTTATTTTTGCCTCATCCCACATCTGAAGCCATGCAACTTGCATCCAACATTCAGCATGGGAAAAAATAACTAAAGATCTAGAAACACCAAAAGAAAAAAAAAGAAAGAAAAACAATTTTGTTTTATTTGTGAGCTTTAAAAGCTCTTGCTCCTGCTCATCTGCAAATCCAGTAGACATGTAAAAATACAACCATACAATACATTAGATTCAAAAAGGTACCAAAAGTACAGTAAAAATAACACTTCCATCACTGGAAATGTAAATGGACACAAAACAATATAAAATAAAAAGTGGAAAAGTGACATTTGCTTCCCAGTTCCTCACTTGATCTGTACAAATGGAGCATGAGTCCAAATTTCTGCCAACTCCAAAGGAAAAGCCAGAGCCCATGTTGGTTGTGGTCAGACCATGGATCTCTTTCTTATTTACTTTAGACCTTAAGAGAAAAACACGGTGCTTAACGTTACTGAGAATAAACCAAATATGGCATGCAGTTACACAAAGACAGACAGGTGCATGAATGAGTTTTGACAGGTCAGTGAATGGACAGACACACTTTGGGGGGGAGGGGGCACGACCGCTAGCTATTACACCTAGCACCCTGGTGAAAGGTGACGGTCCTTATTCCTGTTCTCAACCACCACCAACTCAACCCTTAGTGATCAAGTAGTAGAGATGCATCTTAAGATGGCTGACAGGTGGAATGAATCCATCTTTAATGGTAACAGACCCCACAACACAGTCTACCCTAACCCCACCACAATGCTTGAATGGATTTAGAGTAGATGGAGATCTTTGGGGTCAAAAAGGCACCAATGGTTACAGCTATGTTCTCATACTACCACGGATGATGCAAAAATGCATACCTGCACTACGTGTGATCAGTATGGCTTGTAGCTACTCTGGTGGCCTCCACGTCTTGGAGTTTTCCCATAGCTTGTATTGCCCTGGTCTGGAGGACAAGAGAAAAAGGGACTGAGTTCTTCTGTACAACAAGGAGGACCAAGAAAATAAAGTTTCTCTCATTCTTTTTTCGTTCCCGGGGGGCACTTATCGCTTACTGTAATCGTAGCCACCCCCATAGCCGTAATAACCAGTAGAGTAGTCATAGTTGCCGTAGCCGCCATATCCGCCATAGCCTTGCTGTCCATATCCGCCGTAGTTCTGGTTGTATCCCTGGTTCCAGTAGTTGTTGTAACCTTGATTCCAGTTCTGTCCCTGACCTAAAAAGACACAGGTGAGGGCTTTGTCATGACCCAACAAGTTACTTTGCATTTAAAGTATACAAATAGGGTTCTTACCTCCACGGCCCCTGCCGCCGCGTCCTCCTCCTCCTCCTCCTCCTCCACCACCACCACCGTATGCACGAGCACCATACTGCTGCTGCTGGTAGACTTCTTTGGGCTGGGCTATTTTAATTTCACACTGGAACACCACACAAGAGCACATTACATTGCAGTGTGATTTTGCCTTTGATTTTTATACCCCGAAACACCAGACCCCATTTCACATGTGTGCAGAATGTGTGGTATGCCATTACCTTGCTTCCACCGACGTTGTGGTATTTCTTCTCCATAACCTTCTTGACGGGAATCTCATCTTTATATGTGATGAATACGAATCCCCTCCTCTTTTCTGTCTTTGGATCTTGTGGAAGCTCAATGGTTTCAACCTACACAACAGGAAAACAGACTTTGAAGCAGCCAATATCGTAAGCATTCGAGTTCCTAATAAATTGAAATTCCTTTGAATACCGTACCTCTCCGAAGGTCCCAAAGTACTCCTGAATGACTTCCTTAGCCGTGTCAGGGTTAAGGCCTCCAACAAAGATTTTCTTGACTGGATCCTTCTTCATGGCCATGGCCTTCTTGGGGTCGATCACTCGGCCATCTAGCCTGTGCTCCTTCTGTTCAAGAACCTAAAAAACCCAACTCTATATTAAAACAAAGTGTCTCTTTTGTAACCATAAAGTCACTTTCGGGTTTATTGCTTTCTCACTCACCTTTTCTACACTGGCTGCTTCTTTAAAGAGAATGAAGCCGAATCCTCTTGACCGGCCTGTCTGCTGGTCCATCTTTATGGTGCAGTCTGTCACCTCACCAAATTTAGTGAAGTAATCTTTAAGATCCTTCTTGCTCGTTTCCCAGCTGAGACCTCCAACAAACATTTTCCTGAACACAGAGGGGGGCAGAAAGGGACATGTTAAGCATTACAGGCAGCCATGTTACTGCAACTTTATATATGGCAGAGGGGGTGGTGTTGGGCACGAAGGGGGGTATAAATGTACACACTGTTCCAGAACATCTGTTGACCCAATGACATGGGAAAGAAGGCTACAGCTGCTGTAGCTCAGTCAATTTACATCATTAATTCAATTTAGTGAAAATCGTTCGGAAAAAACAAATCAGATGCCACATATCAATAGCTTCATTAGAGCCAATGCATGCTAGATTTGATCCCTGCTGGAGCGCCCATCCCCCCCTCCGCTCTGCATATGGCGCCAACAAAGGCCGGTTGAACAAAGAAACATGACTAAACCATGAAAGCTTATTATAAATGTCGGTTTCACAAAATATTCACGACATACTGTTTTTCAACTCACCCTGCATCCTCCTCGCCTTTGCTGGCGTCGATTTGGCCGCCCTCTGTGCCACCGTTTTGTGAATTCCCGTCGGCGTCGGGCCCTGCGCCCTCTGCCTCCTCTCCGCAGTCATTCACAGCGCTCTCTTCGTTACCTTCCTCGGTGGTTTCCGCTCCGTTAAAATCATCTTCGACTTCGTGTCCGTTTTCCGATGTTTCCATATACTGCTGCTCTATCTCAGACATTTTGCAATACAATACCTAAAGCCAAAAAAAATGCATCAAGTTACACTAAATCACGGTGATTATATAATCCCAAATGCCGTACATGCCTCGCCATTTACATGGTGCCAATGCATGCATTTCCCACCATTTTGGCCGGCACGATCGCGTTTCATACATTCATGAAGACTCGCAATTGTTGCAGAGCGCCAGAAAATGGCAACATAGTAACGATTACTTGCACAACAAAGTAATCCGACAGCATGGACACTAATACAACTAAAGATTAGAAATAGTGTAACCATCTGCTTCGTGCCGATAAAGCAAGCCTGGACTGTACAACTCAAATTCGCAGTTACGTAACGCAAAGGCCGTGCTAGTCGCATAAGAGGCCTACATTTCCCATTAATTACAGATATTTAAACTACATCCACCAGAATAACAATCATAAGACTAAAACAATCAGATTACTTACGTGGCAATATAATGAAAAGAACAACGCTAAATAAGTAGGAAAAGCAGCTTACTGGTAACACAACCGGAGAGCTCTCTTCAAGATGGATTCTCCCACACGACAACTCGTGGTTGGTTTCCTAAAACCGGCAGAAAAAAAAGCAATTTCTGCGGAGAAGCCATCTGATTGGATGAACCCAGCTGTCGTTCAAGGCGCGTACCAATAACATACACGTCCTTTTCTTTTCATAGAAGATGTCCACGCCTTTAACACTCAGGAAGAAACTCCGAGTACATTTTCTGCGTCTGATAAAAGGGAGTTATCGACTTCTCGGCATTTCAAACAATATGCATCGCTGAAACTACTGTTGTATTGAATAAAGTTTCAAAGCGCTATATTCTTAAAATGGTATTGACATGCACTACTTATCATTCAGAATCCGGAAAATGGTAGTCAAATGCAACAGTAGATATATCCAGGGTCGTGAAAATGAATGGGCGGTGTGTGGAAGAAAATATCCAAAATGTAGCTTAGATGTTGTAGAAATAAACATTAATTTAAGATAAAGAACACTAATGAAATACTATATACGCAATAATGCTGTCATCATACCTTTTATTGTGAACATGGACACATATAGGCTAAAGGTGACTTCTTACAGTAACTCCTGTACAAGTTGTGAAACATGACATGGGTTGGGCAAAATAACGGAAAAAAAGACCAAGTTAGCAGTAAACACGAATTTGCTAAGTTTATTCTTTAAGTGACATGTCTTGTCTTCTAATGGAAAATGTACTTTATATATCCTCCACCAATTTATTTTTCTCTTTGTCAGAGACCAAACCTATCAAACAATCAACAGCCCTCTAGTCTAAACAATGAACTATAGAACAGCATACAAAGGCAGCCACCCTCATGGTTATATAATGCAGACCTTATTTCCTGGTCAAATCGCATTTACAGACTGATGTATACATCAAGCCATGTCCCAATTATAAATGTAGCTGTTTTCAATATATATTCTTTGATTGCTGAATAACTAAAATAAGAAAGAATAAAGAATTTCCATAATAAATCTGTTGGCTAACCATCACACATACTATAATGCTGATTATAAAACTAAAGTCATCTACTTTGTTCATACAGTAACACATTTGTTCGACCACCTTATGCTTTTATATGTTCTTTATAAGCAGTAGTACTATTTCAATATTACCATTTGTGTTTGTGAGAAAGTTCCAGAAGATCAGCATGAGATGAAGCTGATGGTTAACGCAGGACAAGAACATATTGTATATGTTGAACGTACGTTTCTACTTGATTAATGTTATCATCTTATCACAAGTCACAAATTCAGTGCCATCATTAACACCAAATCAAATACAACATTTGTATCTCCCTGGCAAAAATGTGGGTGCTTTGTTAAAAAATACACAAAGCAGAGATATTTGATTTATTGAATTATGAGGACTAGTTGTTGATGTTTCTGTCTCATCCTGCTGACTTCAGGTTTCGAATAAAGTGACATGCTTTAAAAAAAAAGAAGGGTTAAGAAAAAAACCACTTTACAGAAGGACAAATAACAAATGATCAGTGCGGATAATACATTTTATTTCCCCGTACTGAACAGATTAGTGTGTTTAAAAATTAACTGTTGGAAATTATGTATGTGCCCCTCTTTCACTCTCATACGGCTTCTTCCACAATAGCTCCATCACATATTTGAGGCTTGTTTGGGTTGTTGTTTATCAGCCAGTCAGCAAGCCAAATCTGTTGAAGACGGAGAATAATGGAGTAAGATGTTTCAGGGCGTTAAACAGCAGCAGACAACACAGTAAAAGCAATACATACGTGACTAATTATTGACTGTATGTCGCCACTGACTATAGAATACTTACACATGGGCTGTGTGGCTTCTGCTTGCAGAGCTCAGTGAGTCCACGTAGCAGAGTTGGGTTTACATGGCTGCTCAGGTATTCTTCTGTGGCTTGTTTTGAAGAAAAAGGCTCAATTACAGCTGAAGAGAGAGAACATGAGGGATACACAATTGTAAGTGTTCAATACTACATTTGTACATCCACAGCACATTCTCTGGTTGTGTGTTACTTACAATTTTGAAACATGAATTTGATCTCTCTTTCAGCTGCATGAAATGACCCGCTGCCATGGAGAGCATTTTTAAGGTCAGAAGAGCCATATATTGCTCGGAGGCTGGAGGGAGAAGACATACAATTAATATGAAGATCTCTGCCAGGGTTGTCAAGACTGCAAACCTGTACCCCTCTTCATTAGGTTAAAAACATGAATCATGCTACCAAGTCATATGACCCACACTCAAGAGGAATAATGTATGAATATGAATGAAATTGTGTCAGCCTTTGTTTCTAAGCAGACATTGGAAGCAGTAGCATGATTTTGGTAAAGATCACAATCCTGGTAAGTGTGTCCATCTCACTTTTCAGTCAGCCGTGATTCAGTCACCATTGTAAAACATGATATAAATAATGTGAAAAAAATCGAAGGAATATAGGCCTACAACAAAACACAAGACAGAATCAAAAGCAATTTCAGACACTGACCACCCTGGATGAGTTTCTCTGGCCTTGGTGCTGTTGACAGGCCCTAAGATGGACCTCCAGTGGGCGATGGCATTGTGCCGGGCGAGAGTCATGGCAATGATCGGACCAGAGCTCATGAAGGCAGTCAAGCTGGGAAAGAAGAGCTTTCCATATTGGTCTGCGTAGAAGTCACTGCATTGCTCTGGACTTAGCTGCATCTTCCTCTTCTGCAATATAATTTAAATATTGGAAACTTCAATGAAATGTGAAATGATTTTGGATTTTTGAGTACAGCATTTATCCTAATAAGGGTTGATAGTCTAATAATTCACTGTTCTATATTGCTATTTAATATTCAAAACAGTGGTGAAAGAGTCTACTTAGTTCCACTTAAGTAAAAGTACAAATACCATGGTTTAAAAACACTGGGAAGTAAATGTCCTGAGTGTTAAACATTGTTAAATAAGTAAAAGATCATAATAATCAGAAATGTGTATTTATTTATCCAAAGTATAGGCTACTCATTATGTAGGATGACTCCTAAGTGTTTGTGTGGTGTATATATTTAAGATCATTTGTGTTTTGGTACATCAATGTGAAGCCAATTTCAGATACTTTGCAAACAACTGGGTGCAGACGCTTATACTATATCATATATTGTTTTGTTATGTTAAACTGTAACTATGCTAAAATAATTAAGTGGTGTAAAAAACAACATTCTTACTGGGGTGTAGTAGAGTAAAAAGTAGCATAAAATTGAGCTAAGTACAAGTGTCAAACGTGGACTTTAGTAGAGTAGGCCTAATAAGTAAACAGACTACTACTTGAGTACTTACAGTTCACCCCGTTAACAAATTGTGACCATGAACTATAGAGCAGGACACTGTTGGAGCTCTCTGGTGGACAAAATATATATTGATCTGGTGTCCTAAAATATCGTTTGCATTATTTTCTGTAATTTCATTTCACATACTGTATCTGATACCAAAAAGTCTAGGCAAATAATAAATATGTTTTGTACATAGTTTACATACGTTCGTATTAGAACTAGTAAGTATACCAATGCATTTTCCGAGACATTACCAACCTGCAGGATAATGAAGCCAGATTTCAGGATAATGTCCTCAATCTCCTCACATTTGCGGACGGCATCTGGTTTTATAAGGGCCAGAGTTCTTTCCACGTAGACTCGAGGATCGTCCATCTTCCCCTGGACGCTACACAAACATCTGTAGCCTCTAGCTAATAAAGTTACGATATTTTACGTGAGGCCCTTCAACTAAACTCTTGAGTTACCGATAATTTGCTTAATATTAGTAACATGAAGTATCATTTAACATTAGGTGTTGTTTGACCAAAGTATTTTTATATTTTTTTAAAAAGTCCAGAAGAACCAAAATCTCACTTGCCTTTCGTTCGTGGTGCATTTGGGTTGCTAGGATACCAACACTAACCTACGGCAAGCCGAGCGGTTTAATCAACTCGTCTAAAACCGAATAGCATAATTTAGTCAATATGAATTGTCCTTATGCATTCAAGTAAATATGTAATACTCCAAGTATTCATGTGGTAAACTATTTTGGTAGGATACATTTACCAAAAAAGCAAATATTAGGTGTCTTACATTACATTTACAACATGGCTTTACGTCAAGCTTGACCGGCGTACCACAACAGGCCTACCATATTCACTGCAAGAAAATGCCATCATTTGCTACGAACGGTATACAAAGTATTGAAATATAGTAAAGAGATTATTTAGGCAAGTATACACCAATACATATTTGAATTTTAAGATCATTTGCAAAGTGCAAGTCAGGAGTTTTGAAAAATAGATTGTGTTCTCTTATTTTTTTATACACTGCATTTATGAAAGTCACAATTCATTAGTTCTAGTTTGACATTTCTTCATGCTACATTCATTATTTAAGTTCATGGGGCTGCTGTTTCCGAAAATATAAAGTTTTACATCCTTAGACTAGAACTAATTTTCAGCACGTGAATGGCCAATTTTAAAATGTCTAGCCGAGATAACACTTCAGATTGTGTATTTGTGTTTAAGCTTAAGCGTTCTGTTGGCAATAAACATCTTATTTTATTAAGCATAATGATTTAAAGACAAGTTTTGAAACCAAGATGGCACACATTCTTTTCAAACAGTCTTTTATTCAAAGTGGCTTCGACAAAAAGTTCTTATCGAGTTCCAATTGTGACCTGCCACACTCTGATCAGGTTGTCGGTGTAACCAGCAAACAGGGTCTGTGAAGAAAAAGGGAAACATTGAATAAAACCAATTGATTCTGAAATACTTTAGAAAACTTTTTTAAATAATGTGTTTTAAGTTCCCTTCATAATTGCAGGGTTGTCTTCATGAGACATCAGAGTAAAAAGTGAATAGTTATAATCACATGGGAGTAAACACAAAAACCTGCTATTAGTGAGAGCCACTAACAGACAAATAGACACGAGTACCAGAAAGGTGCTACAGAGCGAGTGTTGTACCTGTCCATCAGCAGACCATGCCAGGCAAGTACACTGTGGGGGTTCAGCCTTGCTGTTGGTGCTGATCACTTCCTGTCTCAGCTCATCCACAATGATCTTGCCCTCCAGATCCTTGAAAAGAAAAACAGGAAGAGAAATGAGTAACAGCTCAAAAGTAACAACCAATAGAGAAGTTAATGCATCAAATTACACAATGCACACATTTGTCCAGAATAGAGCTCAGAAACAGCCTCTTTATCATCAAATAATACAGTTGGCATTGGAAGTTTCATCACCGCCTGTCACTTTTAATAAGGGACCATATACTGCTACTAAGGATGAAATCTTTTACCCAGATCTTGATACTGGGGCCAGTGGCGGCACACAGCCAGTAACGGTTGGGGCTGAAGCAGAGGGCGTTGATGGTGTCTCCGCTGTCCAGGGTGTAGAGGTGCTTGCCCTCATTCAGGTCCCAGAGCATGGCCTGGCCGTCCTACAAGAAAAGATAATAGATACAACAACCATATTTATAAATGTTGTAGATTACTAGGATATTTAAACAGCTTAAGTTTTGCATATTTATCTTTAGCATGAAGACAATGATCTTTTTACCTGCAGGTAACACTCAGAAACAGCCTCTTTATCATCAATGTTAAACAGATACTTTTGATGTTTTCATCACTGCTGAAACCGGCAGGTGCACTGAATGGTGCTTCAGTTGATTTTAAATTGCTCGAGATATGTGGGAACTCAAGTTGGGGCAGTCTAGAATTGAAAAGTAGATTTCTTACCCTTCCACCGGATGCGCACAGGGAGCCATCAGGAGACACAGTCACTGTGTTCAGGAAGCCAGTGTGGCCGATGTGGTTGGTCTTCAGCTTGCAGTTGGCCAGGTTCCATACCTAGGAGCAAAGGATAGAAAGACTGCATCACAACAATGGCAGTATAAAGATCATCAAAATATTTCCGAGTTTGCTCAACCAAAGCATTCCCATTAGAGGTGGTCAGGTCATTCATGACACTTTTCCCAAAACATTAAGCCAACAAACTACTCTAGGTTTGTTGTTTTTAACCACAGTTGCAAGATAACTTAAGGCAAGTACTTGGCTGTTTATCAACTACTTTCAGCGTTAGTGTTTCTAGTTCCCCTCATATTTGCAGGTATGCAATCATTGGATATCAGAGTTAAATGTGAATGTTTATAATCACTGGGGATGAAACACTAACACACTGTTCTTATGGTGTAGTTCATTGTAAGATCGGAGGTGCAAAGTATCTCTCCACACAACCTAGCTCTGGTTTGAATGCAAGGGTTGTTAAAAAAAGAAAAGAAACATACCTTGACCATCTTGTCCCAGCCGCAGGAGACAATGATGGGGTTGCTGCTGTTGGGGGAGAAGCGCACGCATGACACCCACTCAGAGTGGCCCTCATCCTGCAAATAGAAGAGGCGCATAATATAATGTCAGTCACACACCGGGCTCTTTCAGAAAGAAAGATAGTTGAGAAAATTGTGACTGAGTGAGCAGCACTTTCCCATTAACTTGAGGAAACGAAAGTGCAGTTTGTCTTTTCACATTTGTCCAGATCAGAGCTCAGAAACAGCCTCTTTATCATCAAATAATACAGTTGGCATTGGAAGTTTCATCACCGCCCTTTGAACTGTCACTTTCAATAAAGGGACCATATACTGCTACTAAGGATGACATATTACCCAAATCTTGACACAGTGGCCAGTGGCGACACACAGCCAGTAACAGTTGGGGCAGTTGGTCTTTTCAACTAGTAGGGGCTGCATCGTTTCAACTTCTTATTCAAATTAGAAGTAGGCCCTTCATTTGTAGCCTAATCCACTGAAATCTAGTTTCACTGATAGAAGAAGACTGAGCTGAAAGTTTACCTGGATGGTGTACTTGCAGACTCCAAGAGTGTTCCACAGCTTGATGGTCTTGTCCCGGGAGCCAGACACAATCTGACGGTTATCCGCAGAAAAGGCTACGCTCAACACATCCTTGGTGTGTCCAACAAATTGGCGGGTGGTGTTGCCGCTGAGGAAACATCACAGCAAACATCTTAGAACTAAAAATGTTGTTCCCCTCATATTTGCAGGTATGCAATCATTGGATATCAGAGTTAAATGTGAATGTTTATAATCACTGGGGATGAAACACTGTTCTTATGCTGTCCACACAACTTAGCTTTGGTTTGAATGCATTTGAATAGTAAAAGGAATGAATTGATGGGAACAATAGCTCAAATTAACATTTTGACACAAAGCACTTGTGATTCCTTATGCCAAGCTTCGCCAACATAAGTTAGGAGTTTTAATACATCTCCTTGTCACATGGTTTGGTTACCATGGCTTTGAAAGGGGTAAACTAGCTCTGCTTCCTTAACGGTTATAAACAAAGAATTTCATGCAGAAAGGAACCTGCTTTCCAGTTAAACTTTCACCTGGACACAGTAAGCAGTTGAACACTATCAACCCCCCAAAAACACGTTTCAGTCCCTGCACTCACTTGGTCAGATCCCACAGGCGAAGGCTGCCATCCCAGGCACCGGACAGGGCAAACTGTCCATCTGAGGAGATGACCACATCACTTACAAAGTGAGAGTGGCCCAACAAGGAGCGCTGGGGGATGCCATAGTTGGTTTCATCACGGGTCAGCTTCCACATGATGATGGACTTGTCTGTAAAACAAACAAATGATATACTTTAACCCAGTTTTCATAGTGCAACAGCTGATATTTACATTACCATAAAGTGTTAGCATTGTGCAAATGACTTTACAATGCAAGCTGTCAAACATTTACTCAACAGTTGGCAGACTCTACGAAGGTTAGGAGCCGGTTTTGGAAGATTCACACATTTGAGCATGTATCGACATTTGCGTGTGTTATTACACGTGTCGCAGATGTAAATGTAGGCTGGTTTACAGATGACGCTAGGTGGTGTTAGCTAGTTCGGCTAACCGGCGTATTTCTATGTAGAGACGATATTGTTAAGGTAAAATAAAGCTCCCGAACATTGCGTGCATTAGTGGCTGTTCAAGTATTTTTCATGTGTCACTCACGGTTATTTTTTCCTTTTTCGTACGTTACAGCGGTAAGTCAACTTGCTGGCTAATGCTAACCTAGCCATGTTGGCAAAGCTGGCGGGGGGAGCCTCACCTCGGGACGCCGACAGAATCATGTCGGGATACTGGGGCGTCGTGGCAATCTGGGTGACCCATCCACTGTGCCCCTTAAGGGTACCCCTCACTGTCATCTGCTCGGTCATTTTGGCGAGTTTCGATGGTGCCTTTTACAAGGATGGAATCGGATTTCTCTGAGGTCCAGAAAAACCTAGGTCCTCATCGCATCTGGGCACAGAGGAAAAGGAAGCTCAGACCCGGATCCAAAAACTATGAGGGGTGAGAATCGCGCAAAGGATTCTGGGATATGTGTACTTTTTACTTTTTCCGGTCACAATGACTACAAAAAAAGTAGTGGAAAGCTCCACCTATCTTTCGTTTTAACAACACGGGTTTCTTTTTTTATTTATATTATCGATTACATACCCTAAATCACTTACATACACACCATTTTTGTTATTAATGCATTGTTAGATACCAGCTTTATGTGGCAAAATGTAACCCATTAGGGAAATAATTCCTATTAAAATGCAAAAGCAATTTAATATCCTTTATATAGTTTGATATTCGTCTGCAATATAAATATATAACAATCCCATGAGGGTTAATGACTATACCTTTTCCATCAATTTAATAGTCATAAAACATTGCAGCACAATTTAAAACGTGCTATTATTTAAGATAAAATCTAAAACATGAAATTCAGAGATGCTGTAAACAATTTAAATGGAGGCCTTTGTTCCATTGTTCCCTTCCTCATCAACTGCAAACAATCCTCCTCACATGTTATTTAGTCTTAAGAAACAATGAGCTCATTCAAATGTTACAATGGAAGACAGATGACAATGATTTGTGTAACTGTATTTAGTTTGATACAATTTGTTGACAAAAGTGGACGCTTCATTAGCATAATGGGTAACACACCAATATCTGTCCTCCTTATGGTTTTAAGAAACACATTTAGAGAGGAAACTTTCCACTAGAGATATTATAAATTACCGAAATGCTGTTTGAATTTGATGCTTCCACAGGGTGTCAGTGTTTAACAGCAACCTTAAAATTGGGATTGATCAACGCTTTTAGCAGAATGCATCCGATTAACTTCATAGATACTTTTTCTGCATTATTCTGAATTTAGCATTCGTTATTTCTGAATTCAGTATTAATTTATACTGAACATTTTGATGTAAGATCTTATCATTTAGATATATTATTGTTACGTGCCGTAGTGTTTGTGTGGGTGTGTGTGTGTCTTTCTCTCTCTCCCTCTGACTCCCCAGGTGCAGCCTGATTGTCCCCAGGTGCAGCCTCTCCCCAGGTGCTCCTAATTCCAAATCAGGGCCTCCATATAGGACCGGAGGAAGACTGCAGTGAGCCCTCCTTTTTCCTCCTCTGGCTGCGTGTGTACAAAACGGTGTCTTGCCGATTGATAGGAGATGTGCTAGACATATTGATTATTTAGTATTCCGTGCAAGTTGGCTGGTGAGCCCGTGTTCCTGTCTTGTTCATTAAACGACCTGTTCGTTACTTCAGAGATCGGTTTTCTCTCTTTTTTGTCGCGCTTGGTCTTCCTTGTGTTTTGTTACTCCCCTTGGTACCCCTAGACTTGGAGGGAACGTAACAATCATCATAACATTTAGGACAGACAGATGTTCCCCCACAGGATAATATAAAACATTCAGTCAGTGATGCCTCACATTTCCAATAGCGCTATATGAGGTCAACATTGTAATGCTTTTGGTTTGTGGCCAAATACTTGCAAAACATCTGATACATCAGCCTTACAATAGGTGTACTCTGTGTCTGTATACCGGATTTGAACAAGTGTATATTTAAAAAGGTTGTTAAACTTTAAATTGTTGCTCTCTTTTCTCTGTCAATCATAGTCTGGTAAGAGTCTGAGGAAACGTGCTGCTCCTTAAATGATTCATGAAGTGGATTCATATGATATAGCCTTTCATTATGGTGTGATGGATTATTATTGTAATTTGCATCCTTGTGTTGATATGTTTAAAGGTCCCCTATTATACTGTTTTTCATTACTTTATTATAGGTCTCAGATCTATACAAAACATGTCACTGAAGTGTTTGGCTCGAAATACCAAACAGATCATGCATTGTAGCATCCCATAAACCCCTCTGTTTCAGCCCTGTTTCAAAAGTGTTGATTCTGTGTCTGTTACTTTAGATGAAAAATAAGGAGCCACTCTCAACGCCCCTCTGAGAGATATCTGGTTAAAAAGAACACAATAGGCGCTTTCACACCGGAGTACTTTTTCCCGTACTTTTCCCTTTTAGTTCCTTTTAGTTCCTGGGATTTTGCGTTCACACCAAAAAGAGAACTTAGTTCATGAGAACTTCCCCCCCCTTTTCAGTCCCTGCTAGAGAGCAGGTACTTTCCTGGGAGAAAAAAGTTCCAATTTCTATTGGCTGGGCGAATTGCAAACCACGCCCCGTAAAACTCAGAAAAGTTTTGTGAAGCCGCCATTGTATTTGCTGGCATTAGCATTATTAGCATTAGCATTAGCCCAGCGCGCCAACGGAGAGAGAATAACTTATGGCAACACAAAAAAAAAAACATGGGAGTGGTGGAGTGATGAGGATGTGTCGGCGTTCTGGCGATTTACTCGGAAGGCTTCAGTAGAAGCTGCTGGGAGTCCCAGCAGAAGTAAACCCAAAGCAGAAGAGGCAGAAGTGACGTCAGCGGCTTCATTTGCGTAATCTTCCCTCAGGAACGAGATCTGCTCTTTAGTTCCATGGGGGAACTAAGTATGGCAAAGTACTTGGTGAAAGCGGCTATTGGTGCTCTAGGAGGAGATTTAGGTGATAAAGTGGGGGGTGTTACCTTGGTTGGTTATTGGCTAATGGTTACACAAGCCAAACATTTTTTTATGACATCATAAAGTGGCCAAAATCTGATCAGTTCTTTTTCAGACAGGTTTAAATGGATTAGGACAGAATCTCTTTACACAGAGTAAACATGTTTATGTGTAAAAGATATGAAAAAGTGGATTTTGCACAATAGGTGACCTTTAAAGGACATACATATATTTAATTTACAGGATATGAGTTCTGTTATTGCTCTTTTTTATAGCACTGTATTAATTTGTTTCTTTTAATTATCAATATTTTCAATTTGAAAGCTTATGCTTTTTTTCCTTCTCTCTGAGCAAAGCAATTTCTTCCTGGATGTTAAAACGCAGGTTACTAATCTAAAAAATGACGTGCCTTTGTGTTATGTCATTACAGTTTTTATAGATGTAAAATGGAGTAGGATCGGATAGACATCTAGATGTATTAATCCTAAAAGAATGAAACTGAATAATTTTACATGATTATGTTTTATTGGAAGAAACATCATACAACTGGAGATTTACCTTCAGTCTACCTGTTTAGTCGACCAGATTTTATGTTATACATTTTTGAACAAGTAATTACAAAAATAGCTTAATTCTTTTACAACCAAATACACCACCAAAAAACATTCTCACAGTCAAGTTGATACTGTGATATATGACTTGCTAAAACACCAAACTGTATTCAGACACTGTGCCATTTACTGACTCCATTAAGCCTTCCAACTGAAATTGATAGAATCTGCGTAAGAAATAAAAACATGATTATGTTAAGTGACAGAAAACCTTCAGCTTCCAGTGAAATAATGCTAAGAACTGTGTGGTTTACAGTTAAAATATCCAGCATTCAATACACATTCTCAAACATTTTGTATATGTCAGCATTTCTATTTTAACTTTATGACATACAACTCATGTACACACATTGTTTTTTAAAGAAAGGATTTCTAGAATACCTTTAGCCTTAATACATGACTGCTGCAGCATAGGTTAAATATGTGATGTAATTATCCTTCTTAATAACCATTCTAAAGTGAAAAGATTTAGTGGGACATTGCAACATGTGTCCCACTGATAAGGAAATTGTCTTGTGTGATGTTGGTAATTCAACTTTACAATTTTCAGGCATACTGCAAGGGAATCTGTGCAAAAATAAATCAAACATTTAATGTCAAAGAGGATGTCAGAAATACAAATGTACTCCCTGGATTAAGAAGGATCTGAATCCGCACTCATTGCACTACAATGTGGTTGTGTATTTGAATTAGCAATGTTTAGCAGAATGTACTGTATGTTGTTTTTGAATGAAAGTATTAGACCAGTAAAACATTCAGATTATTCATATTTGAATATTTATGCTGTAAATGATTGCTATATTTCATGTCTAGTGCTCAACCAGAATATACATATATATCTGAATGCCTTTCATATTGTATCAAAAAAGTACAACTAAAATCAATGCAGATTTTCACTATAAACATAAACACATGTTTCCGCTTATATGTATGGATTTATGTCCAAGTACCAAATAGAACCAAATAATGATTCCATGTAATAACTGTCCTGTATAAATGTAGCCTAATATTTGGAAATGGTACATAAATCAACCACAAGTACAATTTATTTGTTCCTATGTTCAACATTTCTTTAAGCAAAGATCAATGTGTAACTGGATATGTGTGTGGATATGGAGCTTTAAATTGGTACATTAAAGTACTTAAACACTAAGAAAGTATTCCATCTGAGAAAAATGTATTACAAAGACCAAGACACACCATTAATAGTCATCTGATAGTAAAGACTAAAACTTTGTGATAAATGAATTAAAAAAAGACACAAAATTCAGTATAACTGACAGTTATAAACAGTTGTCCTAAGATGTACTGCTAAATAAAATGAATAGTTACAAACAACAATGGTGGTGAAAACATTTGATTCAAATTCCTCAAAGTCTGTTAGTCCTTCAGTTCAAATGACTTACATTGATTCAAAAATATCAAACAAATAACACACATTTAAGTCAGCAGCAAGAACATACATTGTTGTCCAGGTCAAACTGGCAACATTAATTAAACATGTCTCCATCAGTGATTAAAAGATAACGATCAGTCAAAATGAATCAGTTACACTGAAAATGATTAAGAAAAATAATTTGATTGGCAATCATTTGTCAAAGCAACTGAAACACTGATTTATCACGAATACTGTTAATGGTTCCTTCAAATCTGGCCTTGAAGTTACATTGTTAAAAAAAAAAAATGGCACCGACAGGAATGCAAAATGTAACTGGACAAAAATAGGTAAGAATATAATAAAACAAAACACCACACACAAAAGTGTAAGCCATACATTTCTCTGACTTTTCTGAGTGGCCTTAAAATGGAAAGATTATTAAAGACTGCTTATTGCAAATCAAAATGAATCTACTGTCGTTGGAGGTTTCAATGAGGGATCACACGTTATACAAGCTGTCAGGATGCTAAACAACATTCTGTCTTGCTATGATCATGCATTGAATAAGTGGAAACCTTAAAAAAGCCAGACACGAAATCACCACAACTTGTTCATGTATCTGTGCAGTAAATCCTTCCTTATGTGCCATTGACGTCAGTGACTCCCAAGTAACTTTGACTGGAAGTCATTGAAGCTATTGTGCAACATCATCAGCCACAGGTGTGTCTTTACTTCTCAGGATGAATGTGGAAATGCAGGTTTCTCTGTCGCCCCCTCCTGGAGACTTTCCATATCAGAGGATCTGAGTGTTCAGGATGACACTGAGGCATCGCTCTGCTTCATAAAGGCCAGTGTGCCCCTTGTGTGCTCTCTGCCTGTATACGTGTCCTTTCTCCACCAGGCCCGCACCCCTTCAGGGCTGAGAGAGACGCTTGCGTTTGAGCTTCTGTTTCGCCATTTTCTCCTTTTTTGAAAACAGAGAGAGAGGAGAGTACTGACCCATATCTGTTACTCCCACAGAGATCTGTCCATCCATCCATGCATCCGTGAGAGTGGGTGAGTACACACACCGTACAGCGTTCATGATTACAATCAGGCAGCAAGTCAGGCTTTGTTAGTAAGGCCACTAGACTGTCAAGGCACTTCATCTCTGTTCTCTGGACTGTCCTTCAAAGTAAGAGTCTGACTGACAGTTCAGTTTCTTCTCTTCAAAACTATAGCTGCATTCTCAACACGGGACCTCTAGAGTTTTTAAAAAAAAGTTTTCATAATACTGTAGACTCAGAAATGTCCTTGTTAAAAAAATCTCAATATATTATATGAAACGTTTTACAAAAAAAAAGAAAAAATGGGAAAAAAGGGAGCGGGTTGTTGTTGTAATTGCAATATATACCATATCAATATGTACAGATTCCATGCTGCTGGTTAGTCATCACTGCAAAAGAAGAATAGTTGAGATCATATTAAAATCCACACATAGTTATTAATTGAAAGCACTCATGCTCTATACTTACAAAATGCCCCTGTATCAAATCAGAGTCAAGCAATTAATTTCATTCTGACAATCTATGAGTAATATTATTGTTGTACCTTGTTATCTTTGTACTATTTCCTATGTCAGATGGTGTCTCATAATACAAAGCAAACCATTAATTAATTACTTACTTAACTACTTAAGTAAACACTATGCTTAAAATAAAAGTTAGATCTCTTGACCCTCACCTTGTGCCAGCAGCCTGGTATGGGCAGCCCGTCCTGTCCCTGGAAAGAGAACAGCAGGGGAATGTTACCAAGCAAGACAAATCCTGTGATGCCTTCTTTAACACACCTTACAGACCTGCAGATTCAAATATCAGAGACAATTGTAATAATGTCTAATGTGTGAACTCCCTTTCAGCAAACTGAATAAAAGAAACCAAAGGTGGAAGATGAGCTATCAAATTCATAAAGACAAACGAAAAGAGAATAACTCAGTGTTTTTCCTATAATGTAAAGTCTGAAGAAGGAACTTTTTTGATTACATTCTAATCAAGTCAATTCTTAGTAGCCTTGCAGTATGTGGAGCATTTTGGATAAGATAATTATATGTCTTTTAAATGCAGGCGTACAACCAGCAGCTGGTTAGCTGACTAGCATATAGACTGTAAACAGGAACAGCCGAGCTAGCACCTAAACATGCCAACATGTCAAATGTGTAACTAAAACAAACTGCCTTGTAATTTATCAGGCGGCTTTGAAAGTGGTATAGGTGCTGAAATCTAACTCTACATCAGAAAGCTAAGCAAATGTTAGTACACCTGCGTTCTTTGGCCAGTTAAAATAATGTTTGATTTTTGTAGCCTAGCATCTTCCATCTCTTCATTACACAAATCAGACGCACAATGTCCGACCAAATAGATAGAATAGAAATATCCAGTATAGACATGTATAACAGAGTTTGACAGATAAAAAGACAGGAAACAAAGTGCTTTAACAGAATAGCAACAGAAGATGTATACATAGGGATGCAAAAGGAGGAGAAAAGGAGGCAGAGGTACTGTACCACAGGACAGGGGGCCTCAGGGCCAGAAGGAGGAGGAGGTGGAGGGGGAGAATGCCCTGCCTCCTCAGAAACACCTTTAGTCTCACCACAACCCTGTCAGCAAGAGCCAGTCACACATTCACAGCATTGAGGAGGAAACTCAGAGAAACACAAGTGACAGAAACAGTGCAGAGAGAGTAGAAAGGGAAATACTGTTCAAAGTGAGAGGAAAGTTGAGTTAATGAATTCATTAATATGAGGAGTATTACAGTGTGTGTGTGTATATGTGGAGGTGACATACCACAGGACAAGGCTGGTCCAGGCCTGGAGGACCCTGCTCTCCCTTCTGGCCCTTTAGTCCTCTCTTTCCCACTGATCCCCTGTCACCCTGTGCAGAGAAAAACAACATTGAATTTAGTGTGTTTTGATGAAGATAATGATGAAATGTTGTTGTTCGGCGGTCTGTACAAACCTTGTCTCCTCTTTCCCCTCGATCACCCTTGTCTCCCATCAGACCTGGGAAACCCTGGACAAAGAAGCACAAATAGGTCAGGAGAAAGCTGATCACTTGACACACGTTAAAGTAAATTAAAAATGTCAAGATAGAAATACCAAAAGAAGAACTCACATCTAATCCAGGCTCTCCTGTTCTGCCCTGTGAACACAGACCGACACATTTAATCATGATGTATGTTTAATGGAAGACAGTGAAAATATTTAGTAAACACATTGTGGAGGTGATCGAGTGCTTACTTTTTCTCCTTTTGAACCTGGGAGGCCCACTACCCCTGTAGACCCACTTAGTCCCATGGGACCATCTAATCCCTGCAGGTGAAGGCAATTATTATCACTGTATCATGTCCATGTATGTTAGGTTTTATTTAGCTTAAAATGTATCACTTACTTTGGGGCCAGGAGCACCATAATCCCCCTGCTCTCCCTTCATCCCGTATCCAGGCTCACCCTGCATTAGAAAGACAGCAACACTGAGCACCAAACAACATGTCAAACCTTCCACCTCTCACTACTGAAGATGCAGGGTCTATCAGTCTTACCTTAGGACCGGGCATACCATGCAACCCCTGAAAAACATAGAGTACTATCAGTTTAACAGGTGCAGACAACAAACCTGACATGAAACCTTTCTAACTGGAGAGTGATAACTAGTACTCACCATGGATCCAGGGGCCCCGGGAATTCCTGGTGGGCCAGGTGGGCCCGGCTGTGAAATCCTCTGAACCTGAGCCCCATGGAAATTAGAAGATTCGGAGATAAGATAACAATAAATATAAATAAATCTACGGTGAGGGAATAAATAGGCACATTTAAACTGCCTCAGAGGAGGGTAGATGTTTTTTGTCAATTTACAAAAGCTAGTTATTTCTTTATGTGCTAGCAAATGTAAATAACAAATCTGAAAATGCATAATATCAATGTCCTGCTGTTGACCCTTATGTGCTACACTGACAAAATGACACAAATGAGTGAAACATTGATTGCATGCGTGTTCCACTAACCAGGTTGTCCTCTATCCTGTAGTCGCCCTTCTCTCCTTTATGACCGTCCATTCCCTAAACAAAAAAAGAGAACAAATGAACTTCTATGTGCTTCTCACTGTTTGTGTATCAGAGAAACATGTTTACTCTCATTACTTACAGCAGGCCCAGAGAGCCCCATCTCCCCCTTCTCTCCTGTGTGGCCAGCTGGTCCCTCCTCACCTATGTCACCTTGAGGTCCCTGAAGGCAAAGAATGAAAAAAGACATATTCGTCTCTTTAAAAAACATAAACAAAGAAAAGAAAAACGTTTTTAGCCTGTGTTTCATTTCCACACACCTTCTGTCCATCAAATCCTGCTGGCCCAGGTAAACCAAGCTCACCCTGGAAGACGACAAAGAGAGAGATTCATTTATGATAATATGATATGGTTTTAACACAACATCCAAATACATTTTCAGTTAGCAATTCAAATGGCAAATGGAAGGGCACTGGTAGGATAATAGAGCCCTTTACCTTTTCCCCTGTTGGGCCTGAGGGTCCAGGTGGTCCAGGTGGTCCAGGTGGGCCCTGCAAAGAGAAATACATTGAGCCAGTGATAAATATGCCTGGATAAACTTTAAGATGATACGACATATCAACGTATGCATCCTGCTCCTGCAATAATGTTTTGACCACTTGAAGGCAGTATAGAGTTTGAATACAAAGTCACCACCTTTAACAGGGTACAATTGTTTGCAAACAATTCTCACAAAACAAAAAGATCATTCTCTGTTGTTGACCTCCTTCACATACAAGTAGTCATGCAATCCATTGTAAACAAAAGTACTGCTTATAGTCCTCAAACAGTCAATAGACGTGTTGTATATGTTTACTCTGTTTATCACAATGGTGAAAACGACGAGAACTTATGAAACTTCAGCATGAGGCTTGAACTTGGGCCAACACAAGACAATACATCAAGGCGGATGGATTTCACAATGCAGGCCTGACAGTAAACAAAGCTGTTGATTTCTTTCTCTCGTTCTCTCTGTTTGCTGATCACAACCAACTTGAAGCAATTTTATATTACAAAGATTATACTGAGTGTGGTTTGTGGTACACAATGATCTGGCATCATTTTCCATTCTGTTGATTGATTTGCTGCACGATAAGACTGTTAAAGGAGGAGACAGTAATTTGTCATGTGACTTTATGTAACACTACAATAGTCTTCCATGCTGGTTGAGTTGAGTGACAGCCTCTTAAATTAGGCTCCTTAATCTCTTCATCCACAATTTTACACTTGTAACCTGTAACCTCTCCCCTCTGAAGTCCATCTTGAAGCCATAAAAAAAGGAACCCATGTTGCCTCCCGGGTGTGTACATGCTGGTTCTTGCCCTTTTTCCAATTTCTAAATGTTTGTTTGTTTTAACTATAAACCAGGAAAACCAATATATGTTTACAAACAACTATTTGATCTGAGATATTCTATCAATGGAAAGTGAAGGCTTCTCATGCAAATAATGATACAAAAGCCGCAAGATGAATTGCAGTAAATAAGAAACCAATTTCAGCATGGTTTTTATTTTAACCAAATTCATCATCCCCTAAAATGCCACCACAGATTAAACCAATTTCGTTTTTCGCACAAACAAGTGAATGGATCATAACGCAAAGTGGGGGGCCAATGAGCATTCCCCGTTTCATAGATATAACTCCAGAGGAGACCTTGTGTGTTATTTGGTGCCAACTGATCCACGTTGGCAAGAAGCTTCTGATTATATCCCAGGTGGAAGTTTTCCCTAACTTCTCTATGACTAGACATGGTAGAGTCAAAAAGTATTGCGTATGAGTGGGATGTGAAACTGAGACTGTGGTGTCTTTGAGGGGTATTTTCAATGCGTTCCCCTTGCACTCATGATATGATATGAATGTATTGATTAAAAAAACACCATGCTGCCCTACAGGGAGTAAAAGCCTGTTTCGTGTGAGGCACTTTGGATACAGAGCGGGGAAACACAGCACAATGTAACAAAGGCTGTTCATTATCTGTATGATTAAGCATGCTTCTTTAGGCTTATCTGATAAAAGATCACAGCTGTACTATATTTGCTGGGGCTGTGCGCTTTATCCCAAATTAATAAACAAAAGAGCCTCGTAGAGTAACCCAGGACATTCTGTAACATGTGGCTCTCTATAGTGACATTCAATACATTTAAAGTATGTAAATGACTTCTGGGACGATCATCAACAAACAAACACCAATCCATTGGCTGAAGCAGGTGGGATAAGGTGCAGATGCACACAGGGGGTCTATGCATCATCACAGTTGTTAGGTATAGATCACTCCACTAAAACCATGCAGAAACAACAGCAGTTTACCGAAACACTGATGGTGTTGATGGCCTGTCAAGAAGAAATGGTGAGATATTTAGTTTTGGGGTTACAAAATGTGTATCTTTACAAAGTTACCATTTCTGGGTCTGTTAAAGTTTTGCCTGATGCTTTACTTGAGCTTCAGTGATAAATGCCTGATGGTATAAATCTGGTCTCATTGCCGCTTTAAAGTCACTCACCTGGAAAGCATCTAGAAGCTTCCCATTGAAGTCGATGATGTCTGAGGAGCCTGCGTCGCCTTTTTCACCAGGATAACCCTAAGGAATATACAGAGACAAATGAATGGGATAAAAGGAAGTTCATCAAACAAGTGTTGGTAATGATTGGTGAATGATTTTAGAGGGCTAATACACATACCATCGATCCCTGTGGTCCTTGCTCTCCTATTTCTCCGTTGTCTCCCTGTTGGATCACACATATGGCATTGTTTTGTAAACATCTCTAAGACAATAGACACCTAACTGTGAATAAATATGGTTATGACAAAGAAGAGTACACATTTTAGATGTAGGTATTTCCAAATGCCATTTAGTCTTTTACCCTAAATCCTTGAAGTCCATCCATGCCTCTTTCTCCTTTTTCTCCTGTGCCTGCCTCGCCCTGTTTCACACACAACATTAAATGCCAATACATGAGAAGACAAATCCATCAAAAATACTCAGCATGCAAGGTCAAATAACTGATGAGTAATGCTTTTCTCTACCTTCGCTCCTTGAGGACCCTGTGACCCTGGATACCCGGGCTCACCATCTTCTCCCTGCCAACAGAATCAATAAATGTCAAAATTACAAACGTTTGCTCAGATGATACTTCTGAAAAATGCAATGAAGTTGAGGAAAGGTAAGAAATATTTGAACGTACCGTCTTCCCAGGCGTTCCTTGTGACCCCTGAAGCAGACATATACATATATATATAGTTACAATAATTATCCAGAGAAAGAAAAATAATCACAGCAAACCTATAATATGAAGTGATGAACAACAATCTGAAGTGGATTTGAAGTAGACTCACCTCAACACCATCAAGACCTGGAAACCCCTGAGGATGACAGAGAAGACATTTTATAGTGTGTGATAATAAAAAAAAACACGTACTGTGCACTTTTCTTTTACTTAGATATAAACTGCCATGAGGGGAAGGAAAGATGTGACATGGACTTAGGAAAAGACAAACCATGGTTGAAACCCCACTGTTATCTTTTTCTACTATAAAAAAAGGGAACATAATTGCATATATCTAGGCTCACATACAGAAATGATGATGTATTGACATTTCTTTCGTAAAGGACATTCAAGTTTACACTATACTAGCAAAGATAAGAAAGGAAACACTAAAGCACACTTCCAAAGCATTTAGAGAATGTGATCAGTAATTATCATGGCTGCTATTTCGGAACATACGGGTCGTCTGGCTCAGTTAGGAACCTTACAGACAGAAAAACACTATTTCACCTCAGCCTTGGTCCGTTACATTTCCTTTAAAGATCAGACAACTTCAGCCTCTAGATGTCAGTGTTGAACAAGGCATGAGCGGCCCATGAACTCCAGTCTAGAAAGCACTTTTTCTGAGTAAACACAGACGGGTAACAAAGGAGAAACAAGATACAGATGCTTCCTCAGGGCACGAAGGCTCACTGAATGGTTACATATGCTACAGCCATCAGATCTCAATCTAATTTAACACCTGGGAGTTTTAGACTGAGGTGTTTGACAGCGCTCTTAACCACCATCATCAACACCCTAATTATTAAGACACTTTCTGCTGCTTTTCCTATGTGTCACCAGCTATATATATATATATATATATATAAAAAGGGTTATAATAGTTTAGAATTTAGAATGATTTTATCATTCCATAGAAGTTTAGTTTTCAGAGTGTATATTTGCTTGTTTTAATTCTGCATGCTAAATACAACAAGTAGTAATTGTGAATCATTTTTAACTTGGCCCCATCTTCTGGAATGTCAAGTACACAGTTGATGGAGAATTACGTGTCATTCTTTTCCAATTGTACCGATTTTTTATAGCAAAGAGAAAAAGTAAAATGAAATGAGTTGTTGTTCATTTCAATAGTTTTTTAACTGCTAAAGATTTTAAATACGTTTTCTTAAAGTACATTGTTTTAGTTTTCAATAATAACCCTGCACTGGAGCTCTGGAAAGTTCTCAGTGATTAAGTGATTAAGCCCCTCCCTCCTCCCAACACAAACTCTAAGAGAGTATTGCATGTCCTCTTTCTGGCATCTGTCCATCAGTGATTCGGCTTACTTAGGTAAACTGACCTATCACGGCTTTGAGGGCCAGGTGGACGTGTGTGTGGAGCAACATCTGTTATGAAGTCATCCATAGCAGAGACAGCTCTCTTACTATCCCTCTCTCACACACACTTCCCACTATCAAGCAGTTGTGTTTACTTTCACTGAGTGCACTGCAATAAATGCATGATATAAATGGCAGTGTATAATATGAGGGGCCGTACAGGCCGTAATTCATACTGGTCCTCTCACGCACATACATTCTTCTTTTACATACATATATTTTCACTCTTACATACATACATTCTCCTTTTACATACATACATTTTCACTCTTACATGTATGTGCGTGAGAGGACCAGTATGAATTATGGCCTGTACGGCCCCTCATATATAAGCCTTCCACTCTGTCCTCATATTTTACAATAGTGTGCTAAACTATTTAGATGTGCAGCGGCATGTTTTTATTCCTCCTGCTCTCTGCCAGCACATACACACTGTCATCCTGATCCATCTACTGCTCTATGTTTTTCTTCTATTTCCATCCTCAGCTGCTTCAGCCGCTTCTTATCCTCTTTTTTAACCCTATACATCTTTTGATCTGTCTTCAACAGCAGCGGGAAATAAATCGTCTTTGCAAATCGTTTTTAGCACTTCTTTTATCTTCAGTGCAGAAGAGTATGGATGAAGAGCAATCTGGATGTCAGATACATTTCAAAATAGTACATTCACTTCATGATATCTTGAATTTAGATGTGTTGAAGTAAAGCACATGTTATTTACCATTTCAAATAAAAAACCCATCAGACAGAAACTAGTTGCGAATTTCACTTTCCACTAGGTACAAACGAAGGCTTAGAGGACACCCAGCCATGCTAACTGTCTCCTGCTCACACATCTGCACACAACATGGAGCTTCTTTTAGCGCCAGCCTGCTTTATTTGGCTGTTATTGGTATTGAATTGCCTTTAATCAACTTGGAGGAACCATTTGAAATTGGCTAGGTTACAAACAGTTCCCCTCACTTCGACCTTTTCTGCTTTTAGTAATATCTTTGCGCTGTGCTGGCATTATCTTTTGTCAGTTCTGTGTAAGCTCACCACTCACCCACACTGAGACCGACATTTTTCACTTGAATCCCTTTGCTGTCCTGTGCCAGTTGAGTGTAACAGAGCATTCATTCCTTCATTTGGTTAAACAACAATAACCCTTATAGCCTATTTCTTTTTTCCATCTTACGACCACAGATCTGAGCTGACGCTGCATACAAGCTAAGCTCTGGAAAGCAGAAGTTCATTTTGAGAAACATAAACTGCCTCAGGCGAGTAGCACAACTATTGTTTGGTGAGGCCAGCAAACTGACCATGAACTCGCCGCCGCAGAGCCGGATCTGTTTCAGGGGGGCACAGCGACACAGTCGTGGTAGGAGGGTGGGAGAATCGGGGTGTGTTGGAGAATTTGTGGTCGCTTTCTTACAGAAAACAGATGAGGCTAGGAGTATAGTTGCTATTCTGGGATCTTTTAGGTAAGCCACAGCACACTGGCAAACCCGGAAGAATGACAATATGGGATCACTGCAATTGACTGCATAGACCCTTTACCCCTTAATACCATAGTCTGTAATACATGTTTATAAAAGAACAGGTACACACAGAATACAAACATACATTTGCAAACTGTCCCACCCTGCGGTTGAACCCTACCAGGTCAGGTCGACTACTGAGGTGCTTTACGTGGCTTCATTCTTTGTGGTGTAAGTTAGAGGATGATGGCAGAGGAGGAGAATAACAGCAGTGGAGTGTGTGTGTTGGTGTGTATGCATTGTTTTGTTAAGTGGGTGTACATTTGGCACTTATGGTGCTTGAGGTGAAGCTCTTACCGACTCTCCAGCAGGGCCACGTGGACCATCCTTGCCTGTGTTTCCAGGGGGGCCTCTGGGGCCGGGGGGGCCCGGAGGACCGGGAGGACCAGCGGCGCCAGCCTGGCCTTGGTCACCCTGATGAAAAAATAAATAAACAAACAATAATATGAGGACCATGGAAAAGCAAAACTTAATTTGAATAATAGCTCTATTTCTTTGACTGACTGTAGTCTAAAGCAATAGATCTTTTGGGCCATTGGCGAAACAAAAACAATATCATTCACTTTTGAGTTGGGAGTAGTAAGCAAACAGATGGTTATTTACTCATCCACTGGGAAGGGAGCAACATTAAAGTAATTAGGATTAATTTGGTATTCAGCTAAGTACAATATTTATTATTTTTAGGTTTATTTTTGGTTTCTCCCAATTCTGAGAAAAAACAACTTGCTTTGCATCTGCTAGATGCTCCACATGTCTATCCAACCCATCCTCACTCCCAGGTCGGCCTATGTTGACGTTATGTCAAGTCCCCTGTCGGCTTTTTCCAACGCAAGGGGGGGGGCCTTAGCGTCCATTTTCAACGCAAGGGGGGGGGCCCTTAGCGTCCATTTTCAGCTTTCCGGGATGTCCATATGCTTCTATGGACGCTCATGGAAGCACGGCGTTCGTTTGTGTCGACTGCCCTTAAAGGCAATGTGAGCGTCCATTCTCATTGGATAACGGAGAATTGTACACCCGGAAGTAAGTATTCCCCTTACTGTCGATTGATTTTACAGTGATATCTGCACTACTCATCGACTAAAAAACACCAGATTATCCTTGTTAATTACACAACATTGATTGGTTTAAATTGTGTGCAATGCTTTTGTATTTTTCCCCTTCGATTCGGAGAAACAAATGTTTTTTCGGAGTAAAGGATGGCAGAAGACACTACACTACCCAGAATCCCCAGCTATCGTTTGGACTACACCATGTGCTCTGTTTGACAAACCCCGTGATAGTCCTCAAGCTCTGTGATTGGAGAGTGTGCTCCGAGGGTTACGCCGAGCCTCGAACAGCACTTGAAATGGGATGGAACCATGCACGGCAGACTGTCCAAAACTGGATTTGAACGGGTCCACCGCGTCCCCCCTCCCCCACCCTGTCCCCAGAACTACAAATGCTGGCTATTCTGTTTCGCAACATGTTCTGTATCTATGGCACATCTCTACTGGGAGTTGTAGTTTTAAAAGACGTTTTCGTATTTCCCATAATAAGAAGTTGCCAGTATTAAACTGTGTACATCCCTGGAGGTTTAGGGGATAGGAAACACTCACATTTAAAACATATAATTAATAAATGGGTGAAAATTGCTTGTGCCCATAATGGGCAGCATTAATATATATATACACACATGCCAGCTAAGGTCAGAAGAGCTTTATTTAACAGCTGGTCTTATGTTTGTGACCCCTGTTGTTAATTGATAACATTACATTACATTACATTAATTGATAAGCCTGAAACATGCACTTGTTAAGGTTCAGAGGCACATTTTACAAATATGGCAGTATAGCCATCGATCAGCTTAAGATAAGATATACTTTATTGATCTCAAGTTGGAACATTTGCGTTACATCAGCATGTGTAACAGTTAAATATGCAGTGGTGTTTATTTGTAAATCATTTAGTATAATCACACAAATTCTGTGTTTTATATTCAACAATTCTGTGTTCTTTATTTATTGATTGTTCAATACCTGACAAGGTCGGAGATGAAATATCTACATACATCTTATAAGAGTATAATACATTATGTATAATATCAGTTAAAATAAGTGCTTCAACATAGTTAACATTGCTGGAGGTACGCACAAATATTGATAGATGTCTTGTAATGCACTATTGAGGAACCTGCGACCCAAGTTTTTCATTCAATGCATAACTACACCATAGTTGTGTAGGCCTATATGATATGTCAATAAACCTTAGAAAATCTTGAAATCTTGAAAGGGATGTGCAAAATAGTCATTATATACAGTCTTTAATTAACTATTAGTAGAGAATAACGAGTAATTAATATACTTTATAGGGATCCTATTAATATCTAATAATAAAAATAATGAAATTCAATAACATGCTTTAACCACTAGGTGTCCCTTTATATCAGGTGTGCACCTTTATGGTGTAAATACAGCCTATCTACCAATTGGATCAAATATAAAAGTCAGCCGAATTAGTGTTGATACTGCAAGGAGACGTATTGTGTGAAAAGAAATGTAAGATGTTGTTTAATGGCTGATATATTTATGATCCACGTCACGTTTTCAGTTCCTCATGTTTGTCTATAAGTCTTCTCATCAGGGCTATATAAATACAGAACTACGGCAGATATGTAATATTTAATGCAGCCGAACCGTGTATTACAATGCCGTTATGTGATGACTTCCAAAGAGAAAAGCAAGCACACTCGGAATAAAGTATTATTGTATTTTTTTTAAATATTTTCGGTCTGTTTCCGTTATTTGTTAATGACGATGTGCTGTGAGATGTGAGACTGGAATTGCACAGGGGAAAATAACGTAGGCTATCTTTAGATGCGGATTTTGTTAAACTAATATGTTTGCGCTGTGGACCAACACTATACATTGACGGGGAAGGGGGTAGCAATAAAGATAACACCATTAAACAGTTACACAACATAACAGAAATAATATCGATAGCAGCGTCCCTAGCAACCACCTTGGTAACAATGAAAACGTTATGGACGCAATTTCCTGAAGTAATCTTCGTAATAACTAGCAAACTAAAGATCATGTACATCCACTGCACACATAATCTGAAATAACAACTCATATTTCTCGCATCAAATGACATCAAAACGCATTTTAATGGCCAAACTAACTTTAAAATAGGCATTTTCCATCGAGAATAAAACGAAGTTCGGCCATGTTTTTTTTTTCTTCAGGGAGACATTTGAAGATCACGTGACGTCAAACAGAGCACATGGTGTAGTCCAAACGATAGCTGGGGATTCTGGGTAGTGTAGTGTCTTCTGCCATCCTTTACTCCGAAAACATATTTGTTTCTCCGAATCGAAGGGGAAAAATACAAAAGCATTGCATACAATTTAAACCAATCAATGTTGTGTAATTAACAAGGATAATCTGGTGTTTTTTAGTCGATGAGTAGTGCAGATATCACTGTAAAATCAATCGACAGTAAGGGGAATACTTACTTCCGGGTGTACAATTCTCCGTTATCCAATGAGAATGGACGCTCACATTGCCTTTAAGGGCAGCCGACACAAACGAATGCCGTGCTTCCATGAGCGTCCATAGAAGCATATGGACATCCCGGAAAGCTGAAAATGGACGCTAAGGGCCCCCCCCTTGCGTTGAAAATGGACGCTAAGGCCCCCCCCCTTGCGTTGGAAAAAGCCGACAGGGGACTTGACATAACGTCAACATAGGCCGACCTGGGAGTGAGGATGTGTTGGTCTATCTGAGGTTTCACGCTAGGCATACGGTCGGTTTATATGTTTTTTACAGGGTGAGTCAGACTGATAGTTATACACAAAGTAAAACACAACCATGCTGACAAAATCACAACTGAAAACAACATAATCTGTTTATTTTATTAAAGTCTGTCACTACCTATTAAGGACATTTTCATCACTGAGTTAACATCTAACATCTAACTGGGGACTTGTGCCAAAAAGAAACCAATAATGCCCTAAAAGTCTTGCTCAACACACGAGGGGATGCAGGCTCAGTGTTGTCTGTTGCACCCTCTCCTCTCTGCAGACATGCAGTGCATTATGGTTTGCTTTAACAAAAGTAACTTGCATACACTTGGAAAAATATTGAACATAAAATCAATTAAATTCAACACGAGTTCGAAAGTATTGAAGATAAGAGCTGCATAGCTGATTATAACATGCATAAGAGAACATGGGTTAAAGTGTTAAAAGTGCACACATGCCTTAGTTGTGGTCTACCTTCAGAAAGCGTCTCTGAAAGCTACCGGACTGATCTCCAGTGATAAAGCCATGGTCATATCTGGGGAAGGCCAACTGAGATGCAAGAGTATAGCAGCAAGGACGAAAAGTAGAAACACAGCGAGAAAGAAAAAAGAAAGGAGAGGACACAGAGTGTGTTTGAGGACAAAAGAGAGGGAGAAGAAAAGAGAAAAAGTGAGTAAATATCCAAAACCAATAGTTATTAAGAGGTTGCAAATAAGGAGGGAAACATCTGCTGCAGGAAAAAACAGATGAGAGTTCAGCAGCCTCTGGAAATGTAATTTTGTAAGCCAAAAGCAAAAGCTCCAGAGGAGAGTCTTGCTCCTCTATCTGAAGGGAAAGTGACAGATCAGCAGCCTGACAGGCGACTGCTGGGAGGACTACGAAACAGGAAGCTCCGAAGAACAAACCTTGACGGTGAGAATCTGATTACTGTGCAGACCTGCATATGGGCTGTAGTTAGAAGGACCCTGAAGAGAGGAAGTGACAAAGGTGAGCAACTTTTTGTGTCATAGCAGTGTGGTTGAAAGGGGCTCAAGGTTTAAATATCCTCATAACAAGATAGATATACCTTTGATGAATTAACACATTGTCTGTAAATGAAACAAACGTTTCAATACAAACAAACTAAATCTAAACTGAGACCTTTTCAGAAACAATATCCTGTAACTCTCCCTCAAGCATATATTTCACTATGGGTGTTTTTCTATTACATTTTCTCCTATCCGTCTCTTTGTGACCAAACATAACAGGGGCGGCTTGGCTCTTTCCAGCCGACAGACTGTAACTGTGATGATTGTCTGTCAGGCTGAAAGGAGCAGAGTTGGTCTGCCACCACAGAGCTCAGAGCAATGTGTTGCTTCTCTGGTTGAGTTCCCTCTGAAAACACAAGGAGGGATGGATGGAGAGAAGATCTAAGACAGGGGAGAGGGACTCAGAGATGCTAGCCTGCTCATGAGGTTTCTGTTAACAGGCCGCGGTCGGCGTTGGATAGCTGAGGTTTTCCCCCCCTTGCCTATTCACTCCTCTCTCCCCACTGTCACATTCACTCATTCACACCGTTACCACCATGGAGACCACATACACAATGCTTCTTAAACATCTCATAAGAGAATAGGCTGTTTCACAGTGGGTTTTCCCTTTACCTTGTTCTCATCAGACTTTAAGCTGATACTAAGACAAACAGCCATTCAACCTTGGAGCCCTGTCTAACCATGGCCTTGTTGTAGCTGTTTCTGTGGAGAACAGAGAAGGCATTGGCTGGTGATCAAACTCCTATTTTGGCTCGTCTTTCAACACAGCCGCAAGATGAACCTAAACATGCATTAACTATGTCCTGCATATGGATGTGACAGTATGGAGGTTGGTTATGGCTACCACCTTTATGCCATTCCATAAGAGGTTGTTTTGTAGAAATAGGCTCTACACATACGTCGTTCTGTGACTTCTGATTGTTCTTTATCACCCCTGTTATCCTGTGTTTCTAATCTGATCTGGGACCAGATTTAACCTGACAAATGCACTGAAAATGACGGATTGACAGGAAGTCACATTGGCAGAGATTCATTGCCACTTCCTGTTTTTCACACGTTTTCTCTCATCCTTTGTCAGAGTTCAGAGGTGAATCAGCGTTCAATGTCGAGATCGGGGCAGGTTGATGAATGAGCATACATATTGAGGATTTACTCCCACCACCTTTTATCTGCTCAACCTCACTAGGCTTTGATTAATAGCCGTTCGGAGAGTCATGTTTTAAAGATTCAGCAACCAACAGTTTTTCATTTGCTAACCTACAGTATCTATGAAAATGTACTCCAATGCCAAACCTCATTCATAAATACAGTAGTTTTAGGAGCTGCAGGGTTTGTTTTGAACTAACTATGTGTCTCTAAGCAATACTCTGAGGTTTCTCAGCTGCAGACTTATCCAAGGATATCTAAGCTCCAGAAGCCTTGTCCAAATGTAATATTTTCCATTTGGAAGAAGTTTGCAAAGCAGAATGCCAAAAATATTTAATCTTGCACCAACTATTAGAGGAGAAGATGGGAAATCAAACAGCGTACGCCTTGATGGAAATCAGCAATTCCTGCAATGTTTCTGATCCGCATCATGGATAATGTTCCACTGGGCAGCTCGGTCAAATTTACACTCCATTTGTGCTCGGGTATAAAACAATAGCCATTCATTCATCGATCCAATACTCATAACACACACTGTTATGCCAATATTGTTAGGCTCCAACTCGGAGAAGATATATGACTAAACATCCATTTCTAATTATTATTCTAAACCTTGTTCGTTATGATAGTGAGATATGTTTTAAATAATCTAAAGACCATCAGGAAGTGGCTAAAAGCATTAAGAGGAACATTTGTAGTTTCTATAAATATATAATGTGCAAGTATTTTGATAGTGTAAGTGGCTCACAGTGAGAGTTTTGGTCATCATAACAAAACATCTGTGAAAATACTGGCTCATAGTTCATGTCCGGTATATGTAGCACTTATCTAAATTTGCTGAGTGTATCTAAACATACAGTATATATCTAAATATATCTGGCTTCATACAAAGTGAAAGTGAGCTCGATATACATCATCAAACATAATAATTATTTGCATTTATACAACAATCCAAAAACCTAAAGTTAATCAGTTAGAACAGTGTTTCTCAAACTTTTTCATACCAATGACCACTTAACCAATAAAAAAACACTCGCGGACTACCTAACTCCACAAATATCCAAAAACACATCGTTTTTTGCAAATCGCCTGAAAATGGTACAAACAAGTGGCAACATGTGTGATGAAGGTGTTTATCTGGGAGATATTCCCGCGAGATATTCCCGCGAGAGTGCGGAAAACTTAAATAAATAAATGTATTTCAAATGTGAAATTTTACCAATATACTCACGGACCACTAGGGGGCGCTCACGGACCACCAGTGGTCCGCGGACCACACTTTGAGAAGCACTGAATTAGAAGACCAAGATAAATGAACTCATTTTCATGGAAGCCTTTTCAAGTTTACTTTAAAAAAAAATTGCGTTTAAAGTGATCAAAATGACTAAATGATCACTCCAGTTCTACAGGAAAATTAGAAAAATTACACACAAGACCATGAAAATAAAATGTTTTTGATCTTGGGCACAAACCCCAAATTATGCAAAGATGACCTCAGCAGCGACATTTATTTTCCGTGTGAGGAAGTGTGACCTTGACCTGATATTAAATTCTAAACATAATCACACAAATTTGAAAAAAAAGCATTCAGGAGTCATTGAGTACATGCCTTCTTCAAAGAATCCAAGCCGCTTACCATGTAAAGAACAGGGGGCTTATTTCAAAACCACATTGAATGAAATAGGAGATAATTACACAGATCTCATAGTGTGCAGAATGATATCACATGAAAAGACAACACCGTAACATGGACCAGATGCAGAGCAAGGTTCCTCTGTAATATAAAAAAACATAGTTTGGTAGAGACTATGGCAGCTTTGGCTCACCGCCCCAACCATTGGGTTTTGATGGTGACATTTAAGTATTTCCCTCGTTTTTTAATATCATCATTTTTCATCTCCGGCTTTGGCGATGTGGGCAACTCAAACCTCATCATAGGAGCAGGACTATGTTGTTGCTGGGGAAGTGGTACTTTTCTTTTGAATTAATGAAAGCCTCGAGTGTTAAATGTTATGTGGGAAGAACAAAATGTTCCAAAACTTGTGATCAGTAATGTTTTCTTTCAAATGTTTTTATGTCTGTTTGCACGAGCACAATGTCCCACTATTGTGATCACAAGTAAATGATAAGTAGTTCCACAAATATTATTAAAACTTCTTTGATTTCCAAATTGTGATGGTCTGGTTCTCCTAAAAGCTGCACATGTTCCCTGGGTTGGCGTAGGTTTCCAGGGTATCAATCTTTCTATCTTAATCTTGGCAAGATGTGAAATTGTGTATTTTTCCTTCAAAATAAATGGCTTTTGATATTCAGAAAAAGGTATAATGTACATTCTTGTTACATTTAGTACTTTTAAAAACAAGATTTAAAGGAAAACAGCAAAGAAAGAAACTTCTTTAGTTTTTTCATAAAAAGTGCAGGTCAAGTGACCCCAAAAAAGGCAGTGGGAATCAGAAAAGGAGATGCAGTATGACCGAAAACAAGAAACTTTAGGGATGATTTCCAGTAATGGAAGCTCCTTTTTTAAATTGCAACGATCTGCTGAGGAACCAAACAGGAAAGGTCTTTTCAGCTAGCTCAGCCGTAGTGAACGAATATCCCCTTCTTTCCCCTTCTCAGGCAAAAAACAGAAAGCATGACTTACCCTTGGCCCAACGTCTCCTTGGTCACCCTGTGAGAAATACAGGAAAATAATAACCGTCAGCAGTCATTACCACCGCATATGCACACAGGAGGAAGCATGTAAAACACTGCTACTATAGAGAAGCTGTGACAGACAGGCTTAAAACATAAGACTTGTGTACAGACAGGAAGAGAATCAAAGGTCATCTGTACCTGAGCCATCCCAGGAAGTCAACATTTACTGCATAAATCATTTGACAGGCTACAATTGAGATCATCTGACAGGACGCGATGAAATTATAAGTGGGATTTTGTTTCATGATCTCATCACAGGCCTAGCATGGTAACATGAAAAGAGCCAATCATCCAAACCTAAGCATCACCCGTAATTTACACGCTCATCAGACTGAATCCAGCTCTGACAGATACTGTTTACTTCTGTTGTATTGTGGTCTGGACAATTTCAGTTTGAGTGCAAAAACGTACACATGCAAAGTTACCCATCGGTGTGTACACAAATGACCACAAGCATGAGCTATTACAGTCGCTCACATCTCAGGCTGGGCAGAGGTTCACAGAGCGGCAAAACATCTGGCTATCATCGAGCACTGTGGAAGGCCTGTAAACCTGTATAGCGCTCCTTGACGTGAGAATGTGAGAAGACGTATACGAGCTTCTACATAACTAATTGTAATCTATGGATTGTTTGATGGACGTGCAGTGAAAGCGTTAACGTGGGAGGGCGATGCAGAGAACACCTGTCAGGTGTTTGCAAGTGTGTGTGAAGCTCTCCTCCTGTGACAAAGAAAAACATCCATGCTATGCATTGACTTGTCTGGCAGGGTTGTGGAAGCATACCTTATCTCCCTTGGGTCCGGCTGGTCCCTGTATGAAGGAGTAGATAATCGGAGACAGTTGGTCAACATAAATCAGTTATCATATCAGAAACGTATATATAATAATAATAATTGGGAAGGCAAGTAAGTAATACCACTTAATGCAGCCGTGCCATGGAGACTGTTCAATAACAAGTCACTTCGTACGTGTATTTTGTAAATTGTGTTACAAAAAACAAAAAAATACTTCTTAGCTGTCATTAACATTAAGCTGTCTTTGGTTATTTTCTGCTGTAACACATTTCAATTTCCACTCTGTGGGACGAATAACGGTATTCTGATTCTTTCTGAGCGCATTTCACAAACGTTAACTAAAAACCCGGTCTGCAGGCTGTGAAGTAGTTGAGATGCTGACACACAGTGACTCTGTGATATCGTCTCATGAACACCAGAGCCACAGATGATCTGATCCCGCCAGTTGGTTTATTTTTGCCTTTTCCATCTCTTAGTCTGCCGGACTCAGTGGCACAAGAACCCAAAATGTGGCGGCATTACAGACTAGAGCCTGGACTCCTGCTACTGTCTCTGACCTTAGCCCATGTCTCTCTTAAAGTGACTACAGTAAGCAGACCTAACCTCTTACAACCCAATCACCCTTTTCACGTCTTTGTTCTCTAAACTGTCTATTCTTTTCACTCACTCCATACTGTATTTCACACACTCCTCCTGCTTTCATTCAGCCTCTAAATCTGCCATGCAATCTGGCAGGAATAATCCCTTTTCTGATTTGTTCCCCCTCTCCTCACCTCTTCTCTGTCTGGTAGACATTTTGTCTGAACTGGAGCTGTAATTGTGTTCAGGAGTACTGAAGAGGGGGGAGGCCTGGTGCAGAGGATAAGCATTTTGTTAATGTGACTGGCCACATGATGACAGACTGCAGCTTATCTCCTGCATGCTCTGCTCTTTCCTTCTGTTCAGAGAGAGAAGAGATGGAGGAGGAAGTGACAGCACACCACTTCTCCTGTAGGTGTGTGATAATCAAACTGCTTTTATCCTTTATTCTCTTGTTTTTATCTCCCTTGAGTACTAAGGCCACTCTGGTCCTGAGGTCTGTGTCACACCTGCTGGGGTTTTACGGAGGCTCTATGATTGGGCTTGTCCTCTTAAAAGACAGACCCAGCTTGAGGTCTCTTTTTGCAGGAAACAACAACTTAACGGTGTTTAGAGAGTCGCTATTCAAACAGCTCTCCTTTTGCTGTGAGGAGCAGATGACTTGTCCTTCTCGTGGGCACAGCGACCAGAGACGGGGGGTAGAGAGGGTACAATAATTACTTTTTAAAGAGCCCCCATAGAGGTTGTAAACTGTATTCTCTCCCTCCTTTTTCCCACTGGTGTGTGACCTGTTCTCTGTGCTAGGCCTGTTTCCTGGCTACAGCTGGGTGTGTCTGGGGGTGCAGCGGGGTGATGGATGAGACTCAAGGTGAAGTGCTCGGGTTAAGTTGAGCCATGAGTCCCCCGTGGCTGTGAGCCCTGGGATGACTTAAGAGCTGGAACAGGAAACAAGACGGCTATCAGAGTTTTTTCACTCAGTTGCAGCGTTCCCTAAGGAACAGTAAACATGATCGATGAAATAAGACAGGTGCTGGTTTAGTAAAGCCTCACCTGTCTTACTTTATCACAGGCCAATGGCCCACCTGTATGTTCAGAAGATTTTTGACAAGGATTTGCTTAAGTGTAATTTATATGTGTTATTAAAAACAATAACAACAGGTGTGTGATGTGTACCTGGCTTCCCTTAGGACCTGGAGAACCCTGAAATTAGAAGAAAATAGATTTAAATAAAACTATTGCCAGCCCCTAAAGCAAATTTCACACATTTGATTTTGGGAATACTCACTGGTTTCCCATCCAAGCCAAGAGGACCCTGTTGAATCAAAGACAAACATTATGGCAAAAGACAAAAAAAAAAATCAAAAAAAAAATCATTCAAATGAATTGTTTGCCATTTTTGGAAAAGTGGTTATAGCGCACACATGAGCTAGAGCCAAGAAAAGGTTAGTTTACATTTACATTTAAATATCTAATGTCATTGGCAAAAGAAAAGTCTGGAACCTTGCACATAATATAAAAAAATAAAACACATTTCAGTTTTTAGTACAGATTACACATTAGTGTACTCTATGTCTAAATCTTAAAATGGAAGTTAAACATATTTCCAAAAATGTTAAACTACTCCTTTGATGAGTGCTTTCAAAAACAAGTCCGCTGTGAATAATAATAAAATATGATTAAGGCCTTTTTTTTTAAATCCAATGACAATCTGCCCCCATAAAATATCATTAACCGGCTGTTATTTATAAGTATTGTAATAATGTTTGAGTCTTGTCTCCGTATCTCTTAGAAAAAACAATGCAAGTGATCTCAACTTAGGAAAAACAGTTAAGTGAATTTGGCAAGAAAAACGTTTACAGAGAGGACAGTAAAAAGCATGCTTGTAAACAAGAGAGAGAAACAGCTGCAATGATTGGGGAAAAAAGCAGGAAAATTAAGAACTTTTTATACAAATCCTTTATGTATATCCTGCCCCATTTAACTGTGTGTGTGTGTCCGTGTTTAAGTGCACACATGAGACTCAAATATTAAGACGTTTCCAGTTGATTTATAATTATTCTAAGATTTAGAGTGTGGTCTCCAACATGAGAGACCCTTGGTGGATTCAGTCCAGCTGTATTGAACTTCCACACAACTGCACATCCACCGTGTCTCTGTGTGTTTGTGGTGAGATAATCCAGCAGGCGGTTGAATACGTTTAAAGTCCCTGTCCGGCTCACCCAAGCTGAAACAGCAGCTGGATGATCCACTTTGTTTACCTCACCAAAGAAGCCCAGCAGTCATTGAACCTCCTCTGCAAAGCAAGTCTCAGTTCAAAGGCAGAAACCTTTAGATACCTTTTTAAACATAAAGGAACACTAAGATCAACCTTTCTGAAAACACTTAAAAGTGATGTATGTAGTAAAGGCTAGTGTTGACCTCCTCCTTAATGACAACACTTGACGTTAAGCTAACAGTTATTGCAGGGTCCCTTGAGTCTCACAGTCCTGGCCAGATACATACAAATGTCTTAAAAAGCCTGTCGCACACAGCATTATGGGGGAAATAAGACATTAATTTCACAAAAACAGAAAACTTGGTCAATGCAATGGCCACACTTAGTGGCAATAAATCAACATGTTCCTACTAAGGAATAGCGTTCAGAACATATTGTGTTATTAAATGGGAGAAAAAAACAGAAAGAGCAACCGCATAAATCTAACGGTCTTTAGAAGCGCTAAAGATGTTTAGAAAAGATTGAAGAATGTTGTAGGCTACAAGAAGTTAAAAGTAATGAATGAACTGTTAAAAAAGTTAGCTACATTTAAGGGATAAAACAACTGAAGTAAGTTGCTTAAAGTAATGAACTAAATGGTTAGCTAATGGTTCTGACAGTTGTTTGCAACAAAGCTCTTATCTTAGGCTAAGCCAGGTGGAGACGTGGCTAACTTTACCCCCTTAAATAAACTAAGTCTTAATATTTATGCAACAGACAGGCTTAATCAGACGGGTCTGACCTGACAGTCTAAGGCCAAGACTACTCTTTGTTTATGCAACAGGTCCCTGGTGCCTCTTCAGACTGGAAGCCATCATTAACTATTGCCATCTCTGGCCTTGGATGACTTCCTTGAGTTGGGTTTTTCTCTTCATCTCTCTGATTTAGCAGGCCTGTGGGTGCTTTCTGCCTTGAGGTCCTTTAGAAAAAAACTACCAGTGTCGTCACAGCCAGCGTTGATGGATGGACAGTGGCACATAAGGATGGAAGGAAAAGTAGAAGCAGGAAGGACGGAATCATACCTTGGAGCAACTCCCCAAAAGGTTATGTAATCATTTGCTGGCCCTCTGTAAAAGAACGTCTCTCTTTAATAACATAAGTAGTTTGTCTGTATAAAAGAGAAGTACAAGAAAAAAGCCTTTGAGGATTTATTATTGAAAGCCCCTGAAATAAGCAGAAGTTTACCTAGATGGGGTGGAAAAACTGACTGGGATCAAATGACCATTATTTGATCATGAGTGGCAAAAGTTGTGAGTAAGGATCGTACAGTGGAAGCTACATACAGCAGGTTGTAGTTTCAGCACTCTATAAATGCAGCACAATGTGTTTGTCATGTCAGGCAGAGCATTTTAATCAGCCTGCACATGTCACTGTGATCTGTTATCCGAGTCCTTTTCTCTGGATATACATGTGTGGACGCAGTGATCGCTCTGCATCAGGCAGCGCTTATCAGGGCAAGACACGTAAGGACGAGTAGACGAGGTGCACAGGGTGAGGTCATCGGTTGCGGAGTCTGAACCAGAGCAAAAACAGACAAATGTATGGCTGCTAATAAGACACACAGTAGCCTGTGAGCAGCTCGGGACTAAAGCTGTGTGTGTCTTCCTTTGTGTGTGGGAGAGAGGGTTTAGTTTACAACAAGAAACAATAAAGGGGTTTATCTAATATCTGGAAGCTGACAGCTTGCATACACCAGCAGTATAAGATACGTTAACCTCTATGACCTACTAACTTATCCAATATGGAATAAAATAAGACCCAGAGCTACTATAGCAACCTGGAGCTATAATTCAATCACAAAGACTTTCTTTTGTGACAAAATGAACAAGGCCGACTTTAAAATATATGAGCCTAACTTAAAGGGCTCCCCTATGTCCTCGGTGTGTCAGGGAACTCACCAAGTGTCAGAAAACACAACCCTCTCTCTTTTCCTCCATACCCAAATCTCTAGAAACGGGGCTGCAACGGAGTTGATTATTATTTGAACTTTTCTGACGTCAGAAAAGGGGTGTTCCGCCTACTGTATATGGGCAACTCTCCACCTATCAGGGGAATGAGAGACCGCTCGAAAGCGCTGGAGACGCTGTAGTACATATGCCAGGCATGTAAGTGGCACTGTAGTCTGCCACAAAAGCAGAATCAGCCCTTGCAAAAACAGGGCTGGAAAAGAGCAAATAGAGCGAAATGAGGCATGGCTAAAATGCATGATCTGTTTGGTATTTTGAAAAAAAAACTTCAGACGTGTTTTATATAGGTATGGCCCTACAATATATGTTTCAAATATAGCATTATGGGTCCACTTTAATATCAGCAAAAATGGGCCAGTAGCTTTTATGGATTGGAATATGTTTAAGGAACACAGAAGCCAAGGGAAATTGTATTTTGATATGTGGCCCTTAATCCATTTTGTGCTTTATTTCTGATAGCTGACTTGTTATAGTTTACTTACAGTGTATAAAAGATATACGGTCAACAAGAGTCTGCAAGGATGGAAAATGAGCATGAATTTTAATTTAGAAAAAAGACCACTAGGAAAATATATTCATCTCACCAGAAATGGATCAGGCTGCAGAAAACAAATTGGAGAATAATGTTGAGAAAAAGTAAGAATATGTGCCTGAGATAGTAAATTTAGTTTATATAGTAAACAAATCTCTTCACTCAGGTATTTTTCCACAGGCCCTGAAAACTGCAGTCATTAAACCGCTCTTAAAAAAGAATAATCTAGATGCTTCAGTAATGAACAATTACAGGCCCATATCAAACCTCCCATTTCTAGGTAAAATCATTGAAAAAGTTGTTTTTCAAACAGTTGAGTAATTTCTTGCATTTAAATAACTGTTTTGATGTGTTCCAGTCAGGCTTTCGTCCAAACCACAGCACTGAGACTGCTCTTGTAAAGGTCTTTAATGACATCCACTTAAACACAGACAGTGGCAGAACTTCAGTGTTAGTATTATTAGATCTCAGTGCTGCGTTTGACACTGTTGACCACAGCATATTACTAGACCGACTGGAGAACTGGGTGGGACTTTCGGAAACAGTTCTGAATTGGTTTGAATCCTACTTAAAGGACAGAAACAACTTTGTTTCTATAGGTAAATACACATCTGAGTTGACAAATATGACATGTGGGGTTCCTCAAGGCTCCATCTTGGGGCCTCTTCTCTTTAACATCTACATGCTACCACTGGCTCAGATAATGAAGAACAACAAAATAAGTTACCATAGCTATGCAGATGACACACAAATTTACGTAACAATTTCACCAGGAGACTATGCTCCAATTCAAACACTGAGTAAGTGCATTGAACAAATCAATGACTGGATGTGTCAGAACTTTCTCCAATTAAACAAAGATAAAACTGAGGTAATGGTTTTTGGAGCCAAGGCAGAACGTATAAAAGTTAGCGCTGAGCTTCAGTGTGCAATGTTCAAAACAACAGATAAAGCCAGAAATCTAGGTGTAGTCATGGACTCTGACCTGAGTTTCAACAGTCACATTAAAACTGTTACTAAATCAGCCTACTATCACCTAAAGAATATATCTAGGATTAAAAGACTAATGTCACAGCAGGATTTGGAAAAACTTGTCCATGCTTTTATCTTCAGTAGACTCGACTACTGCAATGGTGTCTTCACAGGTCTCACTAAAAAATCTATTAGGAAGCTGCAGCTAATTCAGAACGCTGCTGCTCGAGTCCTCACTAACACTAAGAAAGTGGATCACATCACTCCAGTTCTGAAGTCTTTACACTGGCTTCCTGTGTGTCAAAGAATAGATTTCAAAATACTGCTGCTGGTTTATAAAGCACTGAATGGTTTAGGCCCAAAATACATTTCTGACCTCCTGCTAAATGATGAACCATCCAGATCTCTCAGGTCTTCAGGGACTGGTCAGCTTTCTGTCCCCAGAGTCAGAACTAAACATGGTAAAGCAGCGTTCAGTTATTATGCTCCAAATATCTGGAACAAACTCCCAGAAACCTGCAGGTCCGCTGCAACTCTGACTACTTTTAAATCCAGGCTGAAGACTTTTCTTTTTGTCGCTGCTTTTAATTGAACTATTCATATCTGACTGCACTGTAACTTTTATCCATGTACTTTTTTCTTTTAATGTTTAATTGACAGCACTGTAACTTTTATCCATGTATTTTTTCTTTTAATGTTTATTTTATTAGCTTTTCTTTTTAATGCCATTTTCTTAATCTCTTTCATTTTTTGTAAAGCACTTTGAATTGCCTTGTGTTGAAAAGTGCTATATAAATAAACTTGCCTTGCCTTGCCTGAGATTACCACAAAAATCTCAAGTGATTGTGGGGGAAATGAAATAATGCCTTTTCTTTATGTGTGCGTATTCTTTGTGTATTTCTAGTCTGCATTGCCATCTCTTCCTGCAGCGGCCCTCAGTAAAAAAAAAAGTTTGACTCAGCATTCCCACCAATTAGGCACATTTCTGGAAAATAACTTGGCCTGCAGGGGGGCATTTCTCTGTGTCTATGTTTGTGTAGGTGTGTGTGTGCATGCTCATACATGCATATGTGTGTATCTTAATCCCAATTAAACAGGCGAGAGGTGTCTGTGCTGTCTTTTATTGGACTCCCTGCGGTGCAGACTGCTAATTATCCAGTAAGGTGTAATTGTTGAGGATGCTGCGTGAAACCTTGTGTCTGCACATCTGAGCAGACATCTCAGCCAAAACACACGTGGTAGTGTGTCACCAACAAAAATGAAGTTACACGCTGTGAGTGAGAAAACTCTTTCCATTATTTTGTTGTACTTCCCTGCTTTGATATTGTCTTTGCTCTCTCAGAGTTAGCTACCTATATTTGTCAGACTCCAGTTCCTCTCATGTTGCTACTGGGACACAACTCTATGTCATTCCTACAGGATACATTGTGATACATGAAAAAAGGATAGTGGCTGCATCAAGAACCAAGGAGCACAATAAAGCATACCAGAGTGCTCTGTGTTTGGGACAGAAAATCAATGACATGTTTTGGAGTGACAGTCTGGCTTTAATCTGTGCTCGGCGGCCTGGAAGGCTGAACAATGGAGGCCTTAGCCTGTTTCTGCTGAGTGAGGGCCGCTGCCTGTCACAGACTGGCACTTTAGTATAAACAAACTAGTGGCTGGACATATGAACGAGAATCAACTGGTGTGTGTGTGTGTTTACCCCTCAGCACTGTTGTGTCAGTCTGCTTGACTTTGATTGTTTGACAGCGGTAAGGCCCGTTTCTGAAACCCCTCGTCTATGATTTATGAGCGGAGGAAGTGACCACACACACACACACACACACACACACACACACACACACACACACACACACACACACACACACACACACACACACACACACACACACACACACACACACACACCACACACACACACACACACACACACACACACACCCACACACACACACACACACACACACACACACACACACACCACACACACACACACAACACACACACACACACACACAACACACACACACACACACACACACACACACAACACACACACACACACACACACACACACACACACACACACACACACACACACACACACACACACACACACACACACCATTGGTTATGCTTGGGCCGCTTGTCATTAACTCTGTTTATCACATAACTAATACTTCACTGGAAGTGGACTGCTGCATACATTACTGTGATGAAACGTCTGCAAGACATGTGTATGCCCCCAGAATGAGGTGCAGCACATGTCCGCTCACACACTGGCAAACATGCGCACGTGTTTGCACATAACTTGCCAGTATAACAATTGCTCAGCGATGGCAATAAGAGGAATACAGTGTAAAAAATACCTTGTCAAGTCAATCAAAACTCATAACATATAGGCATCCAAACATAATTGAATTAGAATGGCATTTCAGGTGAATTTATATGATATTAATGTAACAATGGATGAATTAATGTGTACATCATGTCAATGACACAGCTGTTAAACGTGTGACTAATTGTATTGTTGCAGGATTGTTCCTATATTGCCCCTTAGATCAATAAATTACTATCTTAACCTAGAATAATACAACATTTATTAATACAACGTTATTATGTTTTGCATTATTAATCTGAATCGGCAAAGTAACTTTGAACTAAAGTACAACATTAGCAGAAAATGGAATAAAGTATGATTGTATTAATTCACTTCCACCATTAAAAGAGTCTGCTGAGGTTTAAAGGCTTGAGTTTGACAGAGAAGCACTGCAATGAGGGTGAGAGAAACGTGCTGGTAAGGGATCTAGCCGTTTGTTTTAACAATGGGAAAAGAAAGAAATACATTTTACTGGCACAAGACAAATAAGTGCACTCTGGTTTTGACTTATTTGTGTTTATGTGAGCATGCTTTTCCCTATAAGCAGTCCGTGAGATAAGTTATTGGTGTGAAAACACACACACAGCTCTGAGCACTTTGATGGAGTTCACTCACATCTGCACATATGGACACAGATACACAAACACTGCTACCCAATAGGAAGAGTGGCCCTTTTTAAGCTTCAGTGCTTGAAACCTGATCATCTCTGCTGCTAAATTAAATAATGTGCTGTCCATGTTAATTGTCAGTATGATTAATCTACTGTTATTTCACGGTAACTTCATACACGCAGCTTCTTTAGGCATCATATACGCATCATAAGAGGAGGCTTATGTAACGACTATAGGGACTTCATTACGCTGACTAGACAGTGAAGGATTAGTCAGATTATTAAGATTTACATCTAACGAAGCAGCTGTTTTAAAGTGAAAAACAGAAACACTGGCACAGCTTTGAGTTGTCTAATGAAGACAGTGACAGAGATGAATGGAGTCACGGGCAAACACAAATAAATGTGTACACTCCGCTCTCTCGGTCCACCTGTGTGTAATTATCAGCAGGCATTTCCCGTCAGGAGGGCCGAGCAGTGCCAGGCAGACTGGGAATCTGACTGGGAGCGAGCCCCGTGGGTAATGAACTTCCCAAAATTCCCAGTGAGACACTACAATACAACAAACAAGACGCCGTGCAACACAACACCGGGGCAACTAGTGAGGGTCGCCATGGCAACCAGACAGAGCAGGGCAGGGGGTTTAAACCTAGCGGGTCAGAGTGTCTCACTATGTACACAGCAGGCTTCATGTGAACTGCACACACATCCAGTTGTGATGAATCATGAGGGTGCATCTGTATCAGATGATGAGAATATGATGATGGCTACAGGACGAATCAGCAACAGAGCTGTTGTGTTTTAACTCAAAAGCTGTGGAGAAAGCCAGAAGTCTGAGGCCACAAGAGGCCGCTGTATCTCAGGATAAGAACACACTCAGTCTTGTGTTAGGCATCACTGGTGGAAATCCAGCAGGGGAAGAAGTATTCAGATATTTTAACCAAGTAAAAGTAGCAAAACAATATTGTAAAGAAATTCCTGCATTCTTAATTTTCCTAAATTGAAATGACATAGCATCAAAATATACCCAAAAGTACTAGTTGAGCCATCAAATATATTACTGGATTGTAGTTATTGTTGCTTTAATATGCACTTTAATGCTGCAGTGGGTAGATTTGGGGCTGATGCACTTACTTAATGTGCTGCTGAATAGCTTAAAACTGATAATACATTATCATTTATAGGTTAATTTGTTGTATTAAAAGTTTAAACCCAAACTTCAAAGTAAATGCTAAAAGCACAAGCATAGTTTAAAAGGATGTACAGAAACACTTTTTTGGAAAACTATGAGAATGAAGAAGGTGATTGAAGATGAGAAATTATTGTATATGTATGTATAAATGTAAATGTAGTAGGAATAACTTGCATAATGATTTAAAGGACAATCATTGATCAAGTAAGGGGTGGGAATTAATAAGCATTTGCTTTCTCCTGCTCCTTTTCGGACACATATGATTTTTTATTATTATTAATATGAAGACTTTTTTTGTATCATGAATGTGGATAAATACTGTATTTTAACAATACGGTATTCTGTTTATTCATATTTTTTATTTGTTATTTTTTTAATCTGTTCGAAATAAAGATTGAAATGAAATGAATGAACTAAAGCTATCAAATAAATGACATGAGGAACAAGTACAATATTTCCGTGGAGTACAAGTTTAGGATAACAAGAAGAGGAAATACTTGTATAGTATAAGTACCTCAACATAAATTAAATGTACTTCCAGTTACCTTTAAGTTCATTTCACAAGTCTAGAAAACAGTGATCTGCTGATTCAGTGATTCAGTAGCCAGGATGTTCTCAGTTATGTAGTTCAAACAGTATGTGTGGAAGAATGTTTCAAATTTTCCTTGGCATTGTTTACACTTCTGCGGTTTATGTTTACAGATGAGATCTTCACAAAATCGGTCAGTGTGTTTACTCCTCGGATTACTGTTTATGTTTACTCATTTTCACACATGCGCTAAATATGTTTTATGGCACTATTTTCAGCCTTGAGTGAGTCATTTGTGATGTTTTACATTTTCTGTGTTAAAAGACGTTCATCCCATCCTGCCACTCTCGGGCTGGCTATTTCTGTTTGTGTTTAAAAACAACTTTCTTTGTATTTGAGTTACATCTCAGTGATGGGGCAGGATACATACTTGGAGAGGAGCAAATGTTGAAGGAAGCATGAAGAGGCAAGGAAACAGGAAGATTAGAGTAATTTGTGGAAAGACAGAAAAAGGACTGCTGAAGCTGCAGGAAAAGTTGGAATAAATCCAGAGGAAATAAACAAAAGGAAAATGGAGGCATGATTGGGTAAATTGAAGAGTGAAAGGATAAATAACAAATCAAATTTACCGGGTATCCATCCCGTCCAGCCTTGCCCTGGTGAGGTTAGAGATTAAAGCATGAAGCATTGAGACAGGTTAGACAGCTGCACACACCACCCTGTATACTGTATACATGTAACACTTCATTCTGAACGAGACAAGTATTTAATGCCATGCAGGGTCTTCGTTCATTTTCTTCTAGTTTGTACAAAGACTTTTGAATAGATTGAATGACTCCATATTGAGTTTGGAGGTAGACTTATTGACTGAAGGCTATATTGTTCAGTACAGTGTGTTTAAACTACTACTTTTGATTCCCAGTTTAACAACTTAAGGCTTAAATCTGCGGTGTTTGGCACCCGTTAAAATCTGCTTTCAAACGTGAGCTATAAGGTAAGGCAAATTGCCATTGTGTCGATTTTTAAAGCTTCCAGCCGATAAACTTGACTCAGACAAATTGTACTGACAGAGTGTTACTTTGTGGAGTAGGAAGTGATTTCACGTTGACCCACCTTTCCTCGATTTTATGGGCAAAAGGGTACACATGGGTGAGGTCTTAGTGTAAACCAGCTGCATAGACAATTTTCTCCAACAAAACCATTTCCTGGATTTAAAAATCATCAGCTTAACACGCCACTCCGATATTTCTGGAATTGCGTCATGGTGTGTAACAGATCGTATAAGCTGCACCTCTGCATATCTGATCTGCGCCACATGTGACTAAAACGTTCTGATTAAAAAAATAAAATAACAGACAGGTCACAACATTTAATTTTAGATTTAAAAAATCCAAACCAGGAGGCAGCAGTCGTGTCCAGTTAGTATTTGTGTACTTGTGTTTTTGTATGAGTGTCAGCAGGAGTTATTGTCCCACAGAGGAAAATAACTCATTGCTCCCTGACCATCACCCACACACACACTTTCAGAGATACGAGCTCACACACAGCTCTCTAGGTGGTCCATTTACTGCCGCACTCTGTGGATGCACATGTGTGAGTGAGTGTGTGTCTGTGTGTTCTTGTTTTACAGGTGAGAGAGAAATCCATTGTTTGTATAGTGAAGAATATGATATGTACCTGTGTGTAAGAAAAGGCTTCACGTTCAGTAACTTATGAGTGGTTTTCAATACTACCTGGATGAGATGGAATTATACTTACAGGCAGGCCTGCAACAGAAAAAGAGAGAAAAATAAATTAGACATTAGAAAATAATGAAGCACAACATGTGGGACTTATGGGTACCACTGGTTTGTACAGCAATCAGTTCCTCGGGACAGTGGTGAGCAACAACAACAACAAAACTACGCATGCAATGTAGTTTGTAAGATGATGACTGTAATTAACCAGCTAAATATGGTACAGAACAAGCTCATTAGAACCGCTGCCAATGGACTTTGTGGTGAACCTGTTATGATAAACAGACTTCTGGATAATGGGCCATGTTTTGCATTAGGATATGAAGTCATGTGAATACTTTGTTTCCTAAGATTTGGATGCATGAAATGGAGGACATAAAAAGTTGGGGGTGTGCTGGCAAACTGTATGTCCCTTTAAAGCATAAAAAAAAGATGCCTTTAATATTATATCCAGGCAGTTTTTCAGATCTGATTGAAATTCTCTGATGTTGAGCCTCAGCAGCAATAAGTACATTCTGCTTTTCTTACTCAGACTAACCAAAAACAACAGTAATGATCAAAAGGCCCCTCTGATGTTGATGGACTATTCTTATAAAGGAAAAATAATCTCTTAAAAGTCCAATGCCAAGGACGGCAATAAACCACTCAAACCCTTCAAATTGAATTTATAATTTTTCTATTAAAATACACTTTATTGGTGATTGCTTAATATTTATCTGATAACAATTTAAAACTAATCGTGATGCTGATTTATATGATTGCTAAACACAATTACAGTGGCACGATTGGGCACGATGCCGCCAGTGCTGTCCTGGAACAACAAAGCTCATCAGCATCCATGCAACACTAAACATCTACATAAACTCAACAAGATTGAAAACAGACCTCCTTCTGAGAAAATGGAATATTTGTGGAGTTTTGTCACTATTAAAGCATTCAAAAAAGTATTGCTAATGTGACCAGAATCTTTGTGAGCCTTGAAGATTGTAGTTTGATTCAAGACAAAGGGCATTTTGGGGATATGAGAAGTAGAAAAAGGGATGAAAAACAGAAGGTGGTTGGGGTGAGAAGGAAAAAACATGACAGAGGTGTCAGGGTTTATGAGGCATGAAGAGCAAGTCAACCAACTTCAGCTGCGTCTAGACGCTGGGAAAAAGGCATTCTGGGCCAGACAGTTACTGTAGGTAAACAAATGCAGCCTGCTTAGAGAGCAACAGTTAGACCAGCGTTAACCATTGAACTTGAGACAGGTGTGTGCAAGTCTGGAGACTAATGAGAAAGAAAGAGAGAGAAAGGTAAACATACAACAAAAGAAAAGAAGTAAAAGAGCAAACAGAATAAAAAACATTGAGTGTTGTCGAAGGAGAGAAGGCGAAAGATGCTTAACTACTCTGTCTGCCCTCTTTCCTGTTGTCCGGTTTTGTTTCTGTTTCTCTCCACTCGTATTTGTTTTTTTCTCTGAAAGAACAGGGAAAACCTTCTCTGATCTTGTAAAAAGCTGGAGTCACTCGCAAGAGGATGGCGCAACAATCTCTCCATGCCACCTACCTCTACACAATATTACCCAGACTGCAAGATGAGGACGAAAAGGTAAACAACAAGAGAGACAACCTAAACACAGCCTCATCGTTCGAGACAGACCATCCTGCGACGAACAGCAAGCAGCCAATGAGTCCCATTTCAGGAGAAACCTTAACGATGTGCTTTCCCGTAATGATAATCCCTTTGGAAAACAATTTCCTGTTGGAAAGTGGCTGGAAATACACACCACCCTTATGAAATGTATTTTATTTTTCATGTGATTGCCTAATTGGATCGCACAACTCTGAGGGATTTCCGCAATCTATGTTGATTCAGAGTTCATGTGATACTTAAGAGGGTATGTGGTCTGGTGACTTTTCTAACTGTCAATTAATCCCAAGCGAATACCAGAACCACCAACTATTGATGTCCAAAAACTATTAAAAGCACATTAGAGTGCCACAACGCTGCACTGGGTTCGCCCCAAAAAACATTTAACTTCAGCTTGAGAGTTTGCTACAAACTTTAGTGCCTGGGCTGTTTAAGGGAATTACTTTTTGAAAATGGAATGACCATTTATCACTTGTTGTTGTGGGAAGATTTTTTACTTTAGTTTGAATCAGAGACACATTTAGGCTGGGGAAGGGAGACTGTCCAACTGTTGCTTTTCATTTATGAAAAATATTAAATGCTTCTAGCGAGAGATAGAAAACTGAATTCACACCATGGCACTGCATAATAAACTTTAGATATGCCTCAAGCCATCATTGAATATTCTATGTCAAAAAACTAAAAGGTAAATATATGGTATAAAGAAAATTGCAATAATACATTTTAAATATACTCTACTGCTTTAAAAAGGACACGAGACCTTCAGGAAGGATCTTGGTGCACTCAGTTGAGCAATAAATGTTATGTCAACATATTCACAGGAACAGATTTAATCTAGCCCAGTGGTTCTCAAAGTGATAGGCATGCCAGGGGGGGCTCGATAGACCAGGAGGAAAAATGGTTAGAAAAAGAAAAAAGGATAAAAAAGAAAATCATAATTTGAAAAATTATTGATTCGAAAATAATATGAAACAGTACTATTACGTCTGGGTCTCTGTATTTCATTAAAGCTCGGCTCTGTGTGTGTGTGTGTGTGTGTGTGTGTGTGTGGAACGAGCCATTTTGTGTGTGTGTGCGCGAGCGAGAGAGAGCACCGGTACCGGAGATCGTTGTTGTTAGCTTCTGGTGCTAGCGAGCTACGCTAACGGATATAAGGAGTTTTTTCAACAACAAAGTGGAGGAGAGTCCTCTCCTGTCAGACTGAGGGACTCAGTGAACTAAAGGACTCTCTCAGTGTTATCTCAGTGGGTCTCAAATGTTTTGGTCACTATTAATGTAAACAATTATTTCCGAGGCACACGTTTATATGATCATTATAGTTATAAAAAAATAAGAGAATAAATGAAAAACAGGTATGAAATACTATATGACAGTAAAACAAGAATAAAGTTTAAAAGGGTGAATTGTAAAATATCCATAAAGAAAAAGTAAATCTGTTTACAGTACTGTTTCAAATGGGTGTTGAGAGATGTATCCTTAGATCTCTTAATTTTGCTCTCAAAGTGCACCAGATTGATGCATTTAACTTCAATATTTAAAAATAAATCTTCCCGGGGGAGCTTGCCCCCGGACCCCCCTATGTGAGGTCCACACACCACCTATAAAAATAGCACTTTACCCCTGCTTACACCTATATGCCGTGAGCTAATTATCGAGCCTTCATTGTAACAGTCACACTGTATATGCGTGGGGAATGTTGCAGTAGAAAACTCCACTGTCTCGACCGGTACATTAATGGGAAACCCTAAATGTTTGAGCACCCTCTATGAAACGTCAAGCTACCCCACAGCACCCCCGCCACTGAGCCTGACTATTTGTGTTGGGGGGGCCCGACTTTTTTTTTTCTCCAAAGGGGGGGCCTGACAGAAAAAGTTTGAGAACCACTGATGTAGCCTAATCCACAACGATGAATCACAGCCAGACTGGAAGTTTTTCCACCTGACACATATCCTGCAGAACAACTTCAGTCCTGCAGGTTTTTATAAAATCTTCTAACAAAGTCGCTCCACAATTTGAGTCAACACTCAATAAAAAACAATTAAAACGAGAGTGACTCAAACTTGAGTAACATCCGCTCTATCTGTCCTGACGACCTTTTTGTGTAAAAATATGTCTCTGACTCTGCAATGTTTTGGTTCCTCGATGAGTGTTTTGCGGTCTGGGTGGAAAGAAAGAGCAGCACAATAATGGCGGGTAGTGATGTCGGCAACGGAGAATCTCATTAGGCTCGTACTACAGCAGCTGCTACCGCTCAACGAGAGCGACTGACATCTGGGTAAAGTTAGTGCAACCACATGGCTGATGTTAGCATTATGTCGGCACAAATAGGGAGGGACAGGGTGAAGGGCTTACTGCAGCCCATCATCCCAACGTCCTGACTCTCGGGTCACTGCTTTTACAAGCCCTCCAACTCATCCAATCACCCCAGAGAAGAGAGAGAGTGTTAGAGAGAGGAGGATAGTCTTTCAGGAAAAAGAAGAGGAAACAGAACAGAGCAGGTGGAGGCCGTCACTTACCGGCTTCCCCTCTTCTTCCCATCCGTCCACGCTTTCCTGGAGGCCCTGTGAAAACACACAGACAGAGCTGTAAATCCCGCAAATCAGCATTGCAGGGATGAGTAGAGAACAACGGCGCATCACTTGCTGTTTCACTGCTGGTGGTCATGTGTTGCCTGGCGTTAGGTTTGTGTGGGCTGGCACAACACTCATATATCAGAGCTCTGGTGACGCAAGCACAAATTCAGAGGCTAGAAACAAAAACTAAATCACAACCAAGATCGCGTCACACTCAAATGTTAAACTAAACAAACTGGACTGGTACCACCAGCTTTCCGGAAAAGTGTATTCTTCTGTTTATGAAGAAATCTGGTATAGTCGTCATAAATGGCAGGAGAAGGCTGTAGGGGATATTGTGTCCAGCAGGAGTGGTGACCTAGGTCTCAGACCTCATGCTGCCTAAAGACCATAAACCACACACTGCCGCTGAACCCCATGACAGTTCACGTGGGATTTTAAGAGAAGTATTGTATCAATATATGGTGTAATAGACAATACAAAAAAAAAAACACAGATTTCTGCTCAGGCTCAACTTCGTCCCTAAGGAAGGCCAAGCTTCGAGTTTTTTGCATCCCTTATAATCTTATGACTATCCACCACCTGTTGCTGGTCCAGGTACGTTTTTCTACATCGGAAAAGATTCATGTATGAACAAAAAAACTCACACCTGGTAGTGGTACTTGAAGCTTTAACCTCAGTGTTTTAGCATGATATAATTTATTACCCACATATTCAGGACTATTTCACACGGACGCCCATTCATTCATAACCGGTAAGCCACAACATGAAGCTAACGATAGCTCGCTAGCTGTTGTAGCTCTTACTACAGTCCTTGCCTTTGTGTGAAATAAAAAAAAATAGTAAGTATTTAGGTAAATCTGCCGCCATTAGCTTTCTACTTAGCGTGAAACCTTCCTGCAAGTACATTACTTCTCTTTACATTATATGTTCCTATCCTCCCACATACAATCCTGCTCTTGTATTGAAATAGGAACCATACTGTTCCTGATGCTAAGTGGTAGTGGCTGCAGACATGTTTTCCCTATTGTCATTATTGGGGTTGTTGTAGTGGCCTAATCATTTCCTGACTGTGCCAACCTTTTCAAAGAGACCTCAATCATGCTCCTCCACCTCCTTCTACCTCCCCCTCTTTCATCCTTCTTTCCCTCCTTTAAGCAATGGCAATACGCTATTTATTACTTTGGAATTGAAGGATTTATAAAATAGCATGAAATAGTGTTAAGTGCTGCCTCTGCTTAACTTGATCTGGACCATTTTAGAGTATACTATTTTTTTTACAACTACCAGACTTTGTTGGCAACAAGAAGAAACCATTTTAAAATGTAACAATGGAGAATGAGTACAGCATGTGCACATACTGACTCATTTAACATTTATGTTTCAACAGTTTTAATCATTTAACACCTCTACACCTTCAAACCTCAGACACAGACGCCAGCGAGCACACACACTCTGCCAGCCGCAGCATTTATATTACAGTAATAGTCTCCATATTCCATAGTGGGCTGTACTTCCTCTGATTCAGCCCCCGCAGCCATACACAGCAGCGTGGAGCTGTTTTTGCAGAGAGCATTTCCCCTGGCTGGAGGGGAGGGAGATGGGGAGGACAAGCTGGAATGGGGGAGAGAAGAATGTGTAAGGGAGTGGTGAGATGGGGAGAGACAGTTGGGGTAGAGAAATCAAATAGGGCGGACGGACAAAGAGATATAGTCCAGCTAAAAATGATAAAAGGGTCCAGGCAGGAGGAATAATAGCGGTGCAACAAAACAAGTCCGAATGAGGGGTGGATGACTTCACAATCCCTTAAAACATCCTTACAACATGGTCATTGGCCATTTAAAGTGCCTCCTCTCAAGCAGGGATATGCATTATAAGAAATGGGTCACAGGGGGCCATGCCTGCTCTACCTTTATTTGATAAAAGGCTGACATCGGCATGTTGACAGTTCGGTCGCCAAGCGCTGGAGGAGCGGGCGTCAGAGTGACTGAAACGTAGGGTTGTGATTAGTCCTGAGTGGCTGGGTTCAGGGGGAATGGAGGTTGGTGATGACAAGCTGATGTATGACTGGATTGACTGAGGAAATAATGTAAAAAACAGCAGCGCTAAAGCAGAGCATATGTAAAAAGTGGAGAGAAGTGGTTCCGATTCCTATTTCAGGAGAGGGCAGTGAACGCATACCCGTCCCGCTGCGATACAAACAAACACATAAACACGCAGACACTTGATGTGACTTAGGTGTCAGTCTTGACTTCCTGTGACGCGGTGGCATACCAGGGGCAGAAAAGGTCACACACGCACAATAAAATAGAAGTGTGTACCTTCAAGAGTAAGAGATAGTTTAACTTGACACAGTAATGGGCTGTATCATATGACTTCCTCTCCCTTTTGTTTGACTAGAGGTCAAAAGTTATCAACATCGAAAGCAGGTTACAAAGACATAACAAAGCTAAAGGTTTCTCGGTGATTGGTGGGTTGACACAATGTAAAGCACATAGGAGGATGTCAAAGGAGCAGGCTGAGAGGATGAGGACAGTAAAACAGATGTAAAAAAGAAAGAAAGAAAGAAGACGCTGTGCGAAGATGGGAGGACAAGTGCTGAGCAACGAGGTCGTCCTTCACTCTTACAGGTGTTGAAAATCGCTAAAGAAAGATGGGCCTCAAAAAATTCCAACAGCTAGGAAAGACAACTACATCCTGAGCATAAATCTCTCTAAGAGACACAGAAGCAACGCTGGATGCATGCACGCTCACTCAGCAGCATGAAAATAAGCAAGTGAAAAGCCTCTTGGATACCAAATGATAGAGTGGCGCAAGTTTAATTCCAACATTGGGGGACACATTAAACAAATTGTGAGGAGTTTTGTTTGTCAGTCATTCAGGTTTTGGTTTGCTTTCTCTCACTAATGTGCCTTTATATTTGGAGCAGCCTTAGCCGTGTTTGCTGCAGTCCAGCCCCAACCTGCTCTATCTGCCGATGCTGCGCCTCAACATTGCCTCCTTTCCCCTTTTTATAGCAGTGTTGCCTGTTTTTGAGCTGCCCCCTTCTTTATCAAAGTTGCTGCAGCTGTAGAGATTACTCCAAATGCAATTCTTCTTGTTTTATTTGGGAGGACACATACATAGTTCTAAATATTGAGGAAGATAACTCTAAACTTCTAAACATCTCTGTACATGGAAAAACATGCGGTCAGCTAGCAGTCCCCTTAGGACTGTAAGTGTGTTTATGTGTGTGTGAGAATGTCAAATACCTTACACTGAGAGAAACAAACATCTGGATCTCTGCCTGGATTCTTCTGTTAGTCTCAACATGGGACACTTTTAGGCAGATACAGGAGAATGACACAACATCACAGTCCTGTGTATAAGCTCAGTCATCATAGTAAAGAAAGATACACACACATATATTCCCACACCGACTCATATGCATATACTGAGGCATGTTCAACCTACATTCTGACAAGTGCAACCAACCTCAAAGCAATTTATCCATCAACACTTTCACTGGTTGCATCTGTGTGCTAAAAATCACACGTATGTGACCTACATCTTTCACTGTTTCGTCTTCTCTCAGATCATTAGGAGCAACCATTTATTTGGTGAATGTTTTACCAACTGCATATCAATATACCCCCAGCATCTAGATCCCCTTTGGCTCACACAAAGAAAGACACGTATAAACATCCTTTAATCCTCCAGATGCCCTGTCTGTTTCTGGTAGACTTGGCTCCGTTTGATTTAGCTACTGTGACATTTCTCGCAAACAAAGTGCTGCCAGGGAATAAAGCAAAGGATTGGTGGAGCGACCTCCACCTCCTCTCTCTTCTTGTAGGCCCCATTTTGTTCAACCCAACAACTGGGAGCAATAAAGCGCCAAATAAAAATAGCAGAACATGAAGCGCTTTATGGACAACTACAGCACTGACATCCATCCATCCTTTCATCCATCTACCACACATCCTCTCCACTCTACTCCTCTCCTCTCTGTTATCGGGGATGTGGAAGAGTGTAAGAAGTGAAGGCCGGCATCTATTCTCCCATTTCTCCTTCAATTAGAATCACAAAATCTTGAAAGGAGGTATCTGTATGTACATCTACACATGTAAAGATAAAAGAGCAAATATGCTTCTTATTGACATTTCATAGCGTCCACTGAAGGGAAAAGATCATGCCACATTTTGACAAATGAATGCATTTTATTATATAATTTCAGAGTTGCTTTCAGACATAATCTAAAATGTTGACATTAGTAATTGATAATGAACTAACATCTGTTTAAAAGTTGTTGTTTAACTTTTTTGTCGAAGACTGAATCTCTAGGTCTCCCTTGAAAAAGAGATTGTTTGATCTCAATGGGATTTTACCTGGTTAAATAAAGGCTACAAACAAATGTGTTAATAATGAGACCGCTAGTCGACTGCTACCGTTGAAACTGTTGACTGGTCTGAGGTACGATGGAGTATTCCTGTCTTTGGGTTCCCAAATGGTCGCAGCTGTTCAGGCTTCTTGTCTGAAACATTACTACATCCTCCAAACCGTCTCCTGATCTGTCAACACTTCCCTGTGTTTTTCCAACTTTCACTCCAATAGAAAGGGAGACACATGCTGTGAATGTAAACAGCAACAGAAAGAGAAAAAGACAACGGATGTGATTCACATGTCTGTGATTCATTCTCCAGCTGCCCGGGTCAGCCCGGGTTCAGTGGCTCAGACAGGGTTCATACCCATGCGTTCTCACAGTGGGGGAAATCAGATAACCAGAATCAAGAACATTACCTGTAATCCAACTTCATCCCATCACATCTTTAAGTGTTGGCAATGAAGATTTAATAAAGATCTACACCACATGTCTGCAAGGTGTTTCAATTCTCTCATAATACCCAACTTCAGTGTTTTCTTACCTCTTGCACCAGACTCAACTATACATAATGGTTTTACATTTTACAAATGCTTCTAAAATAATCTGCTTTTCTTTCACCTTCCACTTT